TCGACATAGAACAGCACGAAATTATCAAGTAAATGTTCTTTACTGATTAATCAGTGTTAATGACCTGGCTCGAAATCGTTTGCAATGGCGCAGATGCATTCATTGTTTGTCTTCGATCAAATTGTGATCTACCGAATTCCCAATGATCCTTTTCTTCACTTTTAAAATTGACCTCACTGAATTATGCTTCCTGAATAATATCTTCGGATCCTAATCTTCTCCATAACTGCTAAGAATTCTACTACCTCTACCACTATATGATTTGAATTGACAATTGCGTCTTTGTGCTTAAGTGGTATGGCAACCTGAACTGATGAACGCACAGACGTACGAAGTTCTACGTTGTAGCTCACTGACTGACAGATATTTTGGCATTTGCAAGCATATCTACTCAGCAACTTCATGGGGTCAAGAATAACAGCAGTATTCATAGTAAGGTAGAAATGTATTCTTTTCTGACAAACCATATATTGAAGAAACTAGCTTCAAAGTATGCTGAGACATTTTCCTGCTACAGAAAACACTCAGCTAACCAATATCAACTACATTTTACATTGAAAATGTGGAGAAAGACAAAGGTAATTCCAATGATACCAGAAAAGGATGTGGTAGTGAAAAAAAACGAAATTTAGATTAACAACAATAATTTCTTATTTTCTCAAATCCGTGGAAAATCTAACGCTACTCTCATTTCAACCGGCAATATACTGTAGCATACTGATCCATACTAGTCTGCTAACAAATGTAAAATAAGTATCTTAGATGCTACAGCTAATCTCTATCATAATACAATGTTTAGCTAAGGAAAGAATAAGTATTCGGTTCGATGCACACTACTAGACTATACTTCTACCCATGAATCTACGCCAAAACCACAACTAGTAAACAAAATTTCCAGTGTCAACACCAGCCAGCTTGATAAACAGCTGACTGTACTTGGATTGCCTGCCTATTAACCTGTTTATATGTAAACATTTATGCAATTATCGATTGTTTCCGGTTGATTTGGCAAAACAAACTTGTTGAAATATTGTCTAGTGAGAATTTCATTTTGTACTAAGCATGCTGTAGTGTTTATGGTTGGTTGAATGTTTCGTTTGATATTTGAAATCTCGATTTCTTAGTCTGTTTATGGAATAAGTGCACTCACTCTGTGTGAAATGCCTCCGCAGTCATTGGGCTACAAATATTGTAAGCAGAGTTGGGCTGTAAGCTAGAAGTTGGACGTTTTGGCTCGAATATACCTGTATCTCAAAGTTGTACACAGAGCATCGTTCTGTTCAACCATTACACTTTTATCGAAGCCAGGCGATAATATTCAATCAACAGTAAATTATGAATAAGATTAGGATGAGAATTGTTTGAGTTAACATTTGATTGATTTTTGTCAAATATACTTATTAGTTAATTCATTGTGACATTCATTCCCTAGTGTTCCGATAATTATAGTACTCATTTTGAATAAGTAATCATGATGACAATCATTTAATTAAATAATTAATCACTGGGAAGGAAATGTGCATATAAGGATAGCTGTTTTATTCTATAAATGACAATGAAATTCCTCAAGTGCTAGAAAACCTTTGATGGATCAACGAGGAATGAAGCGAAATTGCAAGGCTTCAATCAATGTTAGGTTCGTGTGGTGTTTGAATGAACTAGTAACTTCTTGTGTTGTGAAATGCTTGATTTCGAATTCTGAATACAATACATTCGTTTGTGCCTATCTCTAATTCTTGATTCATATACTTCTAAGCATCACAGTGGCGTCGCGATGGAACTTGTAATGGAACAGCTAGATATTCATTCTACTTCTGAAGCTTTTGAAGATTATTTGGAAAGGTTAGAAATCTGGAGTATGACCAGGAAAGATGTCAAAGATGATAAAATTGTGGCTCATTTCCTAACATTCATCGGAAAAGAAGCGTACAGCTTATTGAAAACCTTGGCATATCCAGAGAAACCTATTTCACTTCCCTATGCAATGCTAAAGGAGTTATTATTGAATCATGTAAAGTGCCCTGGTTTTGAATGCCGTGAGAGAGCGAAATTTCATAAGATGATTCGTCAAAATGACCAAAATGTTAAGGAATTCATTCTTGAATTGCGGAAACAAGCTGTCAAATGTAATTTCGGTGATCAACTTCATGTGCAGCTGAGAGACCGATTAGTTGCAGGAATTAACATACCTAGTTTGGAAAGAGAGCTGTTACGAATGTCAAACTGTTCCTTTCAAGATGTTAGAACTGCGTGCATTAATTACGAGGCGTTGAATGAACTTGATATTCAGTCGATGAAGATTTCCAATACTTTGATTAGTTGTCATGATGAAATACAATCTCAGGGTCAATCAAAATTGTGTTCGTTTAACAGTGGTTCCTATTCACGTGTAAATATGAACGGTGTCTCAAAAAAGAATTACAAAGGAAATCAAAAAGGTGAGACCAAGTTTGGCAAATGTTTATCATGTGGAAAACTTCATTCTCGTTATTATTGTACATTTCGTAATGCTAAATGTTTTAGATGTGGTAAGATAGGACACATTCAGCTAGTATGCAAAGCTACTGTTCATTTTGCCTCAAGTAGTACTAAAGCTTGTAATTTAGATTCCAATAATTCAGCTGATCCTAATGATCATTTATCTTTAACTACCATTTCGAAAGGTAATGCTCATATTCAAAAGCGACTATATACATCGCTTGGTTCATTTCATGACTTTATTGTGGACACAGGCAGTATAGAGTCCATTATTTCATTCAAGAACCTGAAATCGTTAGATCCGAACGTTGTGATACGACCCACTGAAGTATCAATATTGGGGATTACTGGACACAGACTGCCTATACGAGGATGTTGTGAATTGCTAATAAGAGATGATAATTCCTCATACATACCATGTGAATTCTTAGTTAGCGAAACAGGACTGTCAATACTGGGTTTAAAGAATTTGAAAAGGCTTAAAGTGGAGTTGTCTCTCCTAGTTTCTAAAGAAAATTCTGATGCTTTACTTAAAGATTCGATAGCCACGTGTGCTAAGTGCAGTGGAGGTATGAAAACTGCTATTGATTCTATTGCCGCCTCAACATTTAATGAGCTGGAGAAGGGGAGTAGATACCTTTCTACTGCAATATAGAAATGCCAGACATTCAGTGACGAAAGAGACTCCATCAAAACTATTAAAAGGAAGAATTCTTCGGTCGAATATGAGATGTTTGGAGTCTGCAGAAGTTGCATATTATCGTGGCAATGAACTTCGACCATCCACGTGGATCGTTCAGAAGAATGTTGGGAAATCTATGGTGCGACTTCTAGATATCAATGACTTAAGTACACATAATCGACATGTTGATCAAATACAATTCCAAGAGCCAGGTGAGTCTGTTCCAATTTCGGTTGTTAATTCTAATACTAATGAGAGCATTCTAGATAATACAGAGTCTTTATCCAATACACTGTCGGACAGACACAGGATGAATTTGAGAAGAAGACGTACAATTGATTACAGACATATACATTCCAATTTAAGCTGCGGCGGATGTGGTGTTTGAATGAACTAGTAACTTCTTGTGTTGTGAAATGCTTGATTTCGAATTCTGAATACAATACATTCGTTTGTGCCTATCTCTAATTCTTGATTCATATACTTCTAAGTATCACAGTTCGTCACTAGGTACGCTTGAACCTCTTAAGGGTTCACCTTAGTCGATAAACACAAACGAGACAATGAACGAGCGTCCAGGTAGGCTACCTTGATCCCAAAACGGCAAAAGAAAACTCTTGATAAGCGTAGAAAGTATATTCTGCAAACACCCAACAAACACAATGCATTCAAGCACACAAATCTCGTTTATTTATGCATCACAGAAACGTCTTTGGGACAGTCACAAAAATAGCACACTAAAATACACAGGAGCCAATCAAAGCGGAGGATATCCCTGGTGGGAAATGAAATCTCAAGGTCAGCTGATCAGCCCGTGCTGGCAAACGTGAAATCCAAACTAAGGCATTTATCAAGCGAGTTCTAGGGATTTAACATCCCAAACGCAATGCAGTAATTCAATTTGCTCAATCATTTTCTGTGGTCAGTGTGTACTGTGAGTAAGCATGAAGCTTTACTGAAAGAGATGTGAAATGTTGTTTGATACCTAGTGATTATCCCACTCATTTCAATCTGTGGTGGAAACATTTTTCAAATCGATTTGTCTGTTAATGATATCCATAACTAACCAATCAGATCATGGTTTAAGTGCTCATCACGTTGATCTGGTCTGATGTGTCTGTAACCTATCTCTGTTGCATGTGTCCTACTAATTCAAGGACACTATTATCTTATTAGATTAGTGTGACTCATAATTTTATTCATTTCGATAAGTCACGCAATGTTGGTCGGTTTGTTTGTTCGTTTTACTTAATAGATTTAATTTCCCTAATTATTGTACTAATCTGATTGTTTTTACGTTTAGAAACAGATAAAGTTTAGGGTCACGTTGTCCTCGTTCTGACTATAGCTGTCACATAGACTCTCGTCTACTTTTCTAGTAGTATATCTGTGAGACAAATTAATCATACACTGTCCACCAATAAACAAAATTTCAACTAGTCACATTATTCATCAAAATACTCATATTACCGAACCAAGTTACAATTCATCAAACAGAAGACACATACTAAAATGCTAACTCAGTCATTCACAACAAATCAATGTGTGAACAATGAAGTCGTATTATAAATAACATCAATGTGATTTGTTATCAAATTATTCACTGTAAGATGACGAGCAATAGAAATAGAGAATTGTGTCAACACAGTTAACGTAGTTGAGAATCTCCACATCTAGATATCACATTGTATGTTCAATAATTCACATGTTCTATTCCATAACCATTTTCTTTTCTCCACATTTCGAACTAATTTTGAAGGTTGTTCCAGTTTGCAATTAGAATAATATCCTCCAGGGATCAAATTGTCAGTGAGTACGGTGTATAAAGTAGTTTGTGCACCTTTCCATGGTGTAGTAAATGCTTTCCTAGCCAATCGCATTACCATGCTCTAAAGCAATGAACACAAGAAACGATTTTAAACAAAATGGTATTATTCACTACATTAACGGATTATTTCGGTTTGTTTATGAGTAGATGGCAATGACATGTATATTTTTGCATGAACTTTCCTGAGTGGATTTATTTTTGATTTGTGTGATCGAAATGGGATTATGTGTAAGTATTGTTCTATGTATTTAAAGGACGCTCAATATAAAAACAGCTGTTTTACAACAAACCTTTTCTGATGTTGTTCTCGGAATTAAATTATGCTCTCAGTTGAACGAGCTGACAATTATTCTAAATACTATTTTTGAACTACTAATTTGGCTCCCAAACAACTCGGTATATTTTAATAACTCTTATCATAGGTACAGTTAATAATTTTGAGTATCGTGTGGTTCGATACAATGTAGACATTCTACTTCGTGGAAATTCGTATGTTTCAGCTCCTGTCGTTAAAATTTAGGGCAAACTATCTAAACGAACATTCCATTACTTTCAGCTAATCGAAACATTCGGATCGATGAAGGTCATCATAACTCGTTTGAACGTTTCATCAGTTACACATAAATTTACATGAAATAGTTTTCAATGAAAACCACTAACACAATTCACTATCACTTATCCTATTTCTTTTTAAAATGTGAGACTCACAAGCATAAAAGTTTTAAACGAATTCTTCATTCTTAGTAGTAATGATGTAAGAGTCGCTTACCATCGGGAAATCTGTCAGATCCCTCATCACTTCAGTTTTCACAACTCCAGGATGTAGACTGACAGCAACCACTCCACTTCCTTTCAAACGTTCACTCAATTCTATTGCATGTATTACATTTGCCAATTTCGAAGCTCTATAAGCATAAATTGCCTGATAAGTCTTCTTAGTGTATTGTAAATCCGGTTTGACAATACGACCATCTTCATGAACCATGGAGGAAACATTTATGATTCGTGATGGTGCAGCATTCTTCAACAATGGTATCAATAATTCTGTCAGAAGAAACGGTCCGAAATGATTCACTCCCATAATCATTTCAAAACCATCCCCAGTTGTTGTATATTTTTGTAGTATCAGTCCAGCATTGTTGATGAGAAAATCGATTTTGGTGTACTGACTGTTGATTCGATCTACAAAATCTCTGATTGATTGTAACGAAGCTAGATCAAGTTGTTCAATCATCAACTGAAATGAAATGGAGTTATTGTGAAAGAATGAGATGGAGTTGTACAATAGCTGTGCACATTGTTTCGCATATTCTAAAAAGTGACGAATCTGATATGAAATGAAAGTGTTTGTTTTTGAGAGAATGTTGATTGCCGTTTGGTCTTCTATGAAATGTGTAATCGATCACTGGTTGTGTGATAAGTCACTACTTCTATGAATGCAGTCTAGATGGTGGAATGAATTGACACGACTTGTGATAATACTCTAGTGGTCCCTAGATCGGATTCGAACGAACGATTGAATATCTTATACGATAAATCGTTCATCTAATTTCCGTAAATTATTATTGCACGTACTCAGTTTGCTCGATGGCGGCTATTAAAAGTCTAGTATGGTTTTGTGGATGGGTTTATTTCATACATTCACATAAGAAAAAAGACTACAGAATGAGAAACGTGAGAGGGAAGCAAAAGGGAGAAGATGAGTGTATCAAATAGATGTGATGAGACAAGACTAGGAATTTATGGTCAGATGGAAATGAGTTGGACATATGATTTTAGGCGAATAATTGACAAGGTCAAAAGACATGTGTATAGTAGCTTGGGAAGAAATGTTTATTGATTTTGGTTGAAAGTTATGAATGACATATTCATAGACAACTACACTATCATGAACATATTTCTTCGTGCATAGGCAAATCAACAAAGGAGTTGATTGAAGATTGTTGTCTCATCTAGTGCAACAGAGTATAAAATACCACAAACTACTTCAAGCAGATTTCAAAGTTGTCAGTGGGAGTTAGAAATAGTTAACAGTGGAATGCAGGAACCGCTTTTCGTCCTATTCAGGACTCGCAAATGGAAAAATTCAAACCAGTCATACTCATTAATTGAGATGCCAGAGTTGTTTGCAGTCAGTGACAATCACAGTTTGTAGGACGAGTTTACGAACATCAATAGGTTGTTCAGTGCTTTCAACCACATTTATTTTCCTTCCCTTCATTTCCAACAGAAGTAAATAGTGTTTTCATTTATGCTACTATTTATTCAATTGATAGTAGTATAATTCTCAGTATGACATTTATTCACACTAGTCACAGATTCTACGAGATCTGAGTGTCGTTGAATCGAGGTAGACAATGTTTTGAATTTGTTTTGGCATTTTAGCAGTTGGCAACTACTGAATACAAATTGGTATTCAGTGGTTCTCTAGTTTGTCAATTAGACAAGTAAACCAGTTTTGCATTCAAAATACTGCACAAACACCTTTCCCAGTAACATCCAACCAACTCAAAGACAATGTGACTGATTCATCAATAACATACCTGATCTGGCTCAATCGTCTTTAACGAAGACTTCACTTGATTACACGCAACATCAATTTCTTCACTTTCCGGATTATTACTACCATACATTTCCAATAGATGTGTTTTAGCTCGATAAACTCGATCGATACTCCTACATGCCATAATGACAGTTGCACCACGACGAGCTAATTCACTAGCTGTGTACAAACCGATTCCAGTGTTACATCCTGTCACAATTGCTATTTTCCCATCTAATCGTTTGTTGATGATGCATAACTTTCTCCATGAACCAACAGTCTCTTTGTTTGTTTTGGACATGGTAGAATGACTTAGAGATGCTGATTTTCTGTAATCTGATGTGTAGTGGTGAGTGAAGTGTTCATGAATTTAACGCGAAGTGATTGCAATCTCTAACCAATCAGATTAATCTAATGTTAACAGACATATTATTAACCGTAACTGTCTTGTTGAACTGATTTATTACAATTCTAATTCTTTTATCTTACATAAAATATGCCGGTCTTAAAATCATTCAGTAAAATAAATGATATTTCAATGAGATGTTGTATTTAATCAAACAGATTATTTTGCCAAAATTTTACAAATTCAATCGACTACAGTCAGAAACGTTCTCAATAACATTATTTTCAACTCGGTGAACATTACCAGTCAAAAACAGTAAAAACAATTACTACGTGACTGATCGATGTCAACGTGACCGAACCAACTGCTCGTTGACACAATGAAATAAACACGAGCATTCATTGGTGTTTAGATCCTGGTTTGTTAGAGGTCTAGTTCAGTGATCAAGATGAGTTTAGGAAGATCGACTCAATTAAAATTACAGCGAATGGGTGCTGTAGTAGATACTTCAATTCAGATTCAATGTATCATTCCGTTTGATGAAGTCAACCAAGTTTAAGTTGGAAAACAAACAAACGCGAATACAAAATGAAGCAAAATATAAGAGTGTACCGATGTACAAAAATATGTTTTGTTAGACTCAAATTGACCCGATCAGTTGACTTGTGAGCTGTCTTTGACTGTGTGATAACGGTTAACACCGTGTTGTAGAGTAAGACATTTCCAATTTCCCTTGCATTAACATTCACTGAACTATGTGTCAGTAGATGATGTCTCATGTGACTGGGAAAAGTTTCTGAATAAATGCCTACATAAATGTTTGGTGAATAAATATGTACTCATCGATTCGATCAGGGAGCATGTGTAGCTACTCTGAGTGACTAGCGTAAAAGATGCACAGTGAAGCCATCTGAAAAATGTCATTCATCATATAACAATCACATCGCAGATTATTGAATGACGCTGATATGAACGATAACTGACTAGTATTAAAATTAAATTTTTAATAATCTCAATATTTAAGTTTTGGTGACTGATTGCCTAGTTCCACCTGGAGCCGCCCATGGGACTTCCACTGGACCTAATCCCGCATAAATGAAGAGGGTTGGGCAGTGAGTTGGCAACTCTATCCCTTAGGAAACTAACTCGCTAAAAATCGCTAGTCAGAAAAAATAATTCAAACCAGCTGAATAAATCACACAGCGTGACTAGTTCCTTTCATTTTTCATTAAAAAACTCAATATTAACTTTGAGATGGTGGAGAAAATTTGTAGCTCAGGCGGATGATTGTGGTGGTGTTTAGTTCTCTGAGCTGGATGGTGTTTTGGTTGTGGAGCTTTGGTTGTTCTCCTAATGAACAACATCATTAGAAGCTTGGCACTCAGGTCAATCAGCAATCAACAAACACATCGACATTGATCCGATTCATCAGCCAATTATAAAAATCATAGATGACATAGGATCAAGAAACAGATCAAAATGGGGATACAATCAAAACAAAGGTGCAAACAATGACAGATTTAAGGTCAACAACAACCAATCAAGGCCGAGGTTAACAGAACAAGCTACGGGTCAAACGTGGAGAAATTCCAATGCTTCACTACTTCTCTCTGAAGTTCGTGCTGATGATGTTGTGTTCAGCAGGAGAACAATAGAAGCTTCACAAACAACATAACACCATCCAGCTCAGAGAACTAACATCAATACTAACGATTGAGTATTAACTCCTCACCATGATTCATTATTAGTAAAATAACAATAAACACCACAATAAATAGACAAGCTAATTTTATTTTGCAAGAAAACTAAATTACAATATTTGCAGTTTTGTTCTTCTTGGTATCATTTATCATTCATTCATATTGAAATGAGTACATTTCTCCTGTTTTTTTTTTATATAAAAAAAAGTGTGAACCAATGTGGATGATAAATCACAAAAATAACAAATCAATATGATAAGAAGTGTTGTTACAAAACAAATTTACGTTTCATTGATTACTCATTGAATACTACTACTACTACTAATACTACCGACGATCGACTAGTGATTTCTGTTCTGCATTGCATCTTCTGACATTAAACCTTATCCGATTCGAAGCATAATAATATCAATAAATACACGTAACAATTTTTTTGGCAACATATCGTAAAGGAAGCCAATGACATAGGATGGGACAATAGAGTGTAGGTGACAACAAACTGTAAGGAAGAGAAAAGAATCTACAAGAGAAGTGGCCAACAACCATGCGACAGATCGATAGCACACACATACACACACTACAAAAACAAATCTTTTCAATGAACTATAACGGTTCAATACAGAAATTGAAATTTCACATAGTTTTTCGACGATTATATGCACTAGTTTTGTGCAACTATTCAAACATTAGAAAGACAAGGAGTGAATGAAATTGTTCTTATCAAAATCTTATTGGAAATTTCAATTAATCATCTGAATCGAAATCCTCTTCGTAAGCACCATCGGATCTGGCTACAGAGATCACATTTGTAATTGGACTAGCAGCTAAAAGAAGAAAAGAGATTAATTAAGGTCATTAGGTGGCAATCGTGATCGGTTTGCATATAAAAAAAATCATCTTAATTATAATAAAGGGGCTTAAAAAGTTTGTAAATAATAATTTCTAGACATAAAAATTTCTTAATAAGGTTGTGGAGATCGTTGAGTTTCATTGAAAGCCGCGCTGACCAGTGAAGTTCAACTGTGTCTAGTGTGAAGCAGTCACGCACAGTAGACAATGGATGAGGTCGGCAATATCGTAGGTTGATTGAAGTTAGGCATAAATATCGTTAGAGGTTGTTGCCTCAATGGTGTGGAGGTCAGGCGTTTTAGTGCATGATCAAAACCTCCAGGTTCGATTCACACGCGTGTGTGTCGTGGATTAGCACTGCTAATGACTGTTATACTAGGACGAGAAGTTCGTTCATGCTTCCAGGTTTCTTAATGATGGTCGACAATTGATTTGAATGCAGTCATTTTCTTTCAAATCAACTTCATACATTTCAACGTTAAACTATCACAATTAAAAGCCAATATGTACATATTTAAGTTATGACTAAAGAAATTAGATTCTGAAGTTGTTACGCTCGTCACTTAGTCGATAAACGCGAACGAGACTTTTACCAGCGTCCAAGTAGGCTACGTTGAATCCGAAGCTGAAGTAAAAAGGCTTTGTGAGTGACCGAACAAACACAATGCATTCAAGCACACAACTCTCGTTTATTTATACAACAAAGAAACGTCCTTGAGACAGTTAAGAAAATAGCACACTAAAATACACAGCAGCCAATCACAGCCATGGATTTTCGTGGTGGAAAATGTGATCTCAAGGTCAAGTGATCAGCCTAAGCTGGCAAACGTGACATCCAAAATAAGGCATTTAACAAGCGAGTTCGTGGGGATCTAGCATCCCCAACACTCTTCCCCTCTTTAATAGCGTGTGCTCCTGGGGTTGACTTGCATCTTGACTGTCATTCGCCGCTGTCTGATATGATACCTTCGGGGACGAAGAACAGCTTGCTGCTAAGTTTCTTCTCGTGGCGGGGCTGCCGGTAGGTTGAAGGTATCAAGCAAGATGTCAAGAGGAAGGCTTTCCGCTCTTGATGGGCGATCTGGGGCTAGCCTTCTGCGAATCTGATTTCGATGACGTGACCATTTATCACCTCCTACCTCTACTTCGTACATAACTCGACCAACTCTTCTGACCACTCTCGCTTCTGCCCAAGGACCATGGTTCGTTCTGTAGTCGCGGGCAAACACAGGGCGTCCCACTTCCGACTGGACAAATAATATAACATTTTGATGGATGGTTAGGCTTATATTTCTACTTTTGATTTTGTAGCATGGTCTATCTTAAAGGCTGTCAATTTATTTTGAGCAGTACTAATCAATGGAAATAACACTTTTTGTCTTTACTTACCTTTAGAATTTGTACCCCAAAGACTAGTCGCCATAGTGTTACTCAATTCTGGACTTCCAATTGATGTATGCTTTGCAGTTGTTGGTTGTCTACTCATTCCACCTACTCTGGTAGTTGGCCTAGGACCTAATGCAGCCATTTCTGCATGTGCTGCTGCTACACTTGGATCCAATGATCGACTTACGCCAACTGAATGTCTTGGTGATAATTCTTGACCTAAAGAGAAACTATTATCTTCAGCTAAACCACCATTGATTGATGATACACTGAATATATCTTCATCATCTACGAAAAACAAAAAAAAGTCAATGAAAAAGCAAAAACACCTGATGACTATCTTCCAAAAAGAATGGCTATTCACGCAACTTCATCAAAAAACATCAACCGAAACCATCATCAGAAGTGAAATCAAGCACACAAACAAATAAATGCATCATCCTGCCATACATCAAAGACAAATCGGAGGATACAGCACGACTACTGAAACCATTTGGAATATGTGTGGTACACAAACCAACAGAATCATTTCAATCAATCCTATGTAGACCAAAGGATAAAATGACAAATGAAGAAAAACCAAATATCATCTACAAAATAAATTGTTCAGATTGTGAAAAACACTACATATGACAAAGTGTACGGTCTCTTCAGCTCCGTTTATGTGAACATCAATTAGCAGTCAAACGCCACGACAACGATTCGCTTATATCAATACACACCGACAATTATGGACATACATTTGATTGGAACAATGTGGAAATACTGGGTAGGGGGAGCACAAGGAACACTAGGGAATGTTTAGAAGCTTGGCACTCAGGTCAGTCAGCAGCAATCAACAAACACATCGACATTAACCCAATTTATCAACTAATCAGGAAAATCATAGGCGATGTAGGATCAAGAAACAGATCAAAAGGGGGATACAATCAAAACAAAGGTGCAAACAACGACAGGTCTAAGGTCAACAACAACCAATCAAGGCCAAGGTTAACAGAACAAGCTACGGGTCAAACGTGGAGAAATTCAAATGCTTCACTTCTATATGAAGTTTGCGCTGATGATGTTGTTCAGAAGAGCAATGAAAGTTCCACAACCAAAACAACCAGATCAGAGAACGAAACACCACCACAATGACCATCCAGTTTATCAGATATACAGATCAAATTAAACTTCAGTGCACTTCAATCACTGTGTTTCTCTCCTATTCTACAAGAATAATCTCCGGTATCATGAAAATAACAAATCTAGTCAACTCAACAAAACTGAAGTGGGTTTTAATATGTTTGTCGCGTTTATGAAAATTGTTAGGAATGAAAAATTCTCAGCTGATAAGTGAATGTGCGTTTGTAACAACTGATACAAGAAGAGTTCATTAACAACTGTCTTCGCAAATTACTTCGGGTTCGTTGGTCATACACCATCAGCAACAACCTACTGTGTTACAGAACAAACCAGGTTCGAGAGTAGGAAGATATTAGGAAGAAGCGCTGGAAATGGATAGGATAGATGTTAAGGAAAGAACTAACTGAGTCACAAGACAAACTGCTACCTGGGATCTTTATAGCTAACGGAAAACATGAATATCAAAGTACGCTGAGAAATGGAGGTAGAGATGAGAAGATTGGACAAAATTGGACACAACAGAGTAAGTCGGAGAATGCTGGTCGATGAGCTGTGCTTCATTATAGCTGACAGGCGTAAGTAAATAAGTAAATATACTTATTGATGGAAAGTGCACCCAACAACATTCCACGCGTACGTAGATGTTAGATGTTTTCCGTCTACACAAAACAGTAATTGTATCAAGATTTCATGAAGATCTTTAATATCAATGTGATTACTTAGAAAATTATAGAAAACTTTATAGTTTAAAGAGACTACTTATATTGCTAACTTACCAGTTTTCAAATTTTGACTTTTATATGAAGAGAATTTCACTCCTTGATTACTGTTATTTTTTTGAAGTATAGAAGAACTATTATGAATATTGTTATTTGATTTATAATAAGATATTGTTGGTTTTAATGGATCTGTGAGTTTATTTGATAATCCTGATGTTATTCTTTGTGTATAAAATAATTGAAAAAAAAGTAGAAAATTCATTAAAAAAAATGAATTTAAGTGGAAGCAGTTGGTTAATATTTAGAATGTGAAAGTAGTTAACAGAAAGTGTTGGGACAATTACTTTATGCTAGTTGGTATATGTTGGTTAGGTGTGCTAGGAATCTCGCACTACCTAGTATTTCCAGGAGTCTCAGCACTTTGCTCAGTATTACAAGTAAATCTGCTACATGCATTGGAAATTCACAACTAACCGACCATCTAACATACAACAGCGGATTGAAATATTCAGTCACTTGAACTAAGACATCAACTACCGTTTGAACCTACTCTCTCTGGCGCTTTCCTTTCCGATTCTGTACAATTGCTATTCATTCATTTCATAACTTTCATGTGTTACATATGCCTCTCCACTGACTGCCTAGGTGAGCGATCATGTCTGGTGAAGGGGTAGGCTTGAAGAAACCTAGTGGAAGCCAAAACAAATCATGGCACACATTCATCAAGTCACTGGCAGCTTGACTAAGCCATGTTAGTAGGTGTACTCTACCTGGTTGGGGTGCGCAAGACAATAGTAACCGTATGATGTAGCTCAAAATTGTCGACAATCGCGCAGCTTCACTATACTAATGGTCAAGTCAAATCTACCAAAAATTACATAACTTTTCCACTTATCAACCTTAAGAAGTCTAGACGACTTTTCTGGACTGAACATTAAAACTTCACCAAGATTTCAGTTACTGAGATTCTTTCAAAAAGATAACGTTCACAATTAATGTCTTTTATGTAGTCGGTGCTCAATTTCTGCCAAACTATTCGTCCAAACATTCACGAATATTAGTGAAACTGATAATCTGAACTTAAACCCATTATTGTTAGGAATTCGGTTCAAGTCTAGACAGGTAAGAATTTGTTGCACACACAGTTTTCATTTTCAGTTAGTTAGAATGCACTACAATTTGATGAGATTATCATTTTAATTTTTGAATGTTAAAAATTTAAACTGATTTCACAGTGAATGTTGTATTTTCGAAGAATATTTCGTTGATATTTGGTCTATAAAACAAGAGTGTACGGAGCGTCGGAGCTACAAAAACTATTCAGTTTCTTCCTACATCATAGAGAATCTGTGTTTTTATCATTTGTATAAATGACTAGTATTGATATAGAACAGTGAGAAATTATCAAGTAAATGTTCCTAACTGATTGATCGATCAGTGTTCATGTATACGACGTTGAATGACCTGGTTCAAAATCGTTTGCAATCGCTCATATGCACTCATTCTTTGTCTTCTCTTAAATTCTAATCTTCCAAATTTCCCATGACCCTTTTCGTAACTTCTAAAATTTACTTCACTCGGTTATACTTCTCTCATCATGTCTTCGAACGCTGATCTTTTCTATTACCGCTAATACTTCTACTAACTCTACTAATATGGGGTTTGAATTAACAATTCTATATTAGCCAATATGTAGTATGGGAACGTGAACTGATATAAGCACATATGAAGTTCTACGTTGCCGCTGTTAACCTTGATCTTAATTGGTTGTAAGTGACCTTAAATCTTCTAGAAGCTTGGTACTTCTTAGGTCAAACAGCAATCAACATATACAGACCAAAATCGATACAATTTATCAATCAATCATAAAAATCTTAAGCAAACATAAGATCGGGAAACGGATACAATCAAAATGAAGGTGCAAACAACGACAGGTTTAAAGTCAATAACAATCAATCAAGATCAAGGTTAACAGAACAACCTACGATTCGAACGTAGAGAAATTCCAGTATGTCACTTCTGCTCTCTGAAGTTTGTGCTGACAATGTGGTTCTGCAGGAGAACAATGACAGTTCCACAATCAAAACACCATCCAGCTCAGAGAATAAAAACCTCAGCTACAACTTTTCTTCACTACTATGCCAAAAATCCTACTTCATTCAAAAATCAAAAATCAAACTAAGGCTTACTGTTGAGATTTATTGATTTCCGCAGCAACAGCATTTAAATCTTCCGTCTCTGAATCCCATTCATCATCTTCACTACTTGGTACAACCGATAGATTACTAGTATTCGTTGTAGTATTTGGTTTTATACCGAATGTTACAACACGTTGATCATGACTAAAATGAATTTCAGGTGAATTTCGAGTGATTTGTTTCGGTTGTTCTATAGTAGTAGTATCATTATCATTATTGGTATTATAGTTATTAGTTTGCAATGCAGTGGCATATTTTCGTGGAGTAATTTGTAATTGTGATTCAGTGGGAATATTTTGTTTAGACATGGTCGGTGATAATTTAGCAGCCAAATTACTTCTTTCTGTAACATATTGAAGTTGAGGACTTGATCTTTGTAGACGTGGTCTAAATTGGAAAAAAAACACAATGACAAGAAGGCGTGTTAAAACAAGGGCTTCGTTTCTACAAACAAAACAAATGTCTAGACAATTCTACTGTATGGGGCGGAAAGTTGGAGAACTAACAGTGACCATCCAGAAGATACAAGTGTTTATCAACACTTGTCTGCGCAAAATATTTCGGATTCGTTGCCCAGTCACCATCAGCAATAACCTATTGTGGGAGAGAACAAATCACATTGCAGCGGAGAAAGAAGTTAGTAAGAATCGTTGGGAGTGGATACGACACACACACACTGAGGAAAGCATACAACTGCGTCACAAGACAAGCCCTCACTTGGAACCCTTAATGACAAAAGAAAAGAGAGAGCCTAAGGAAAAAGTTACGCCGAAAAACTGAGACAGACATGAGAAGATTGAACAGAAAGTTGGACGGAACTAGAAAGGGAGGCCCAGGACAAAGTAGGCAGGAGAATACTGGTCGTCGGCCTATATTTCATTCGAAGCAACAGGCGTAAATGTGTTAGTAAGCAAACTTGACCACTTTTCACTTTTAAATAGAATACAAAGTATCTTACAATTCAAAGTGAAAAAACAATGTAAATTATTATTAGTATTATTAAAATAAAACGAAATTTCTGAAAAATAATACATTTTACTTACTTTGTTTCAGAGAATTCTATACCTTTTCTACTTGGTGAATTAATTATCCCAGTTATATTGGATTGACTACCTTCATTTTCATTGCTTACAGGTAATATTGGTAAAGATACACCTAAATTAGATGTAACAACATCAGTTCTACGTGAAGATAATGGAAGAGTTCCAGATCTACGTATACTATTAGGACTGTGTGATGCTGGAGGAGGTAAACCAATTTTATAGGATGAATTTATTTTGTGTGAAGTATTTTCTACACGTGGTTTTGATTCAGAAATACTGATTGTTGTACTGCCACGAATAGCTGCATGTGCTAAACGATCAACTTGTTGATCTAAATTCTAAAAAAAACAGACAGAGAAAAAAATTTATTTCGGATATTTTTGACAAAAGCACATTAATAATAGTAGCATCAAAACGTCTTACTATGCTATATTCTCATTGTTGGTTATTTATATTACTCAAATACAATAGAGTAGTTGAAATGAGTCATTAAAATTTAAAAGGAATCAAGTTTATATTGTTCACTTCAGTCTCCTCCTATTGGGTAACTTGATTTTGCTAACTGCTATTATTATCAATTAAAGTCAGTCATTTACAAATTCGGGAGCTCCTATCCGTAGTGTATATGTGCATCGCTTACTTCGCTCATTATATGTCCACCTTATTTAGTCTAATCATAAATATTAATTCATCTTTCATCAAATAAATTTGGCTCGCTCGCCTTCTCCACTTCGCTTCTCTCTGCCTGTTTGCTTTGCATTCTCATATCCGTCTGCATGAACTATTGTCTGAAATACACTCAGCCAACTGAATCTGTATTTGGTTATAATTACTGCCGTCGCACAAACGGGGTTCGCCTAAGTATGATATTTGGAGATTGATAGGGAGATTTATTTATTTCATAGCATACTCGAGCATCCTAAAATGAAGGGGTTAGGTCGTGGGCCACTACAGAATAAAACTACAATTTGAAATATTTACATAAAAATAAGAAATAAATGCAAAACAAATATAGCACTAACATCGATTTCAGGATATATCACTTGATATATTCAGACATGAATTACGAGTTACCTTCAGATCCTAGCCAGAAATTCATACCTACGAATGTTGCTAGATCCAATGAATGATTAATGGTCCTGGAAATCACGCAACTCAAAACTGACACACATCTGTTCAGCACTATCAGTCAGTTTCTAATCACGAATTGGTTTTAGTTTGACTACTACTACTGTAGTGAACGAGAACACATGTGGGGCAACCGAATTGTATTTAACGAAAATTACAGAGTTACTCAGTAAAATTGGAAAACCATATATAAATCGTTAATTTGCAAAATATCAATTCATCATATCGAACTGGACTGTTCCTGTTGCAAAACATCAATCCATTGTCACTATTCATGCGTTTCATACAAATTCCATTGTGTTCTAACTCTTCCTTTCTTGGTCTTCCCCCATCTTCTGCTGCCAGACATTACGTTGACACTCACGTCATATACTACTTATAAGTAGCTCACACCACACTACTACTACTAAAAACCTGAAAGCATGAGACAGCCGTTTCGTCCTAGTATGGGATTCCCAGGTGAAACAAACATATTCATCATCCCACATCTGGGAATCGAGCTGACAATATTTAGTTCTACACAAACACCTAACCTCCACACCGGAGAATCGGTATTCAACGATGTTAATGTTTGATTTTTATCAATTTACGATATTGAACAACCCTCAGTTATTGTACATACTGGATAACTGTCTCACACCAGACACATTGAAATGTACTAGTGTCATGGCTTCTCACAGATTTCAATATAAGTAAAATGATTCTAGTGAATTTGTTTAAGTTAGTCAGTCAGTTACGACGTAGAAACTCGTACATAAGTATATTAGTTCAGGTTGCCATACTGCATTAACGCAGAGACGCAACTGTCAGTTCATATCCCATAGTGACGGAGATAGTAGAAATATTAGCAGTAATGGAAAAGATTCGGGTTAGAAGATATGATACAAGAAGTATAATTCAGTCGGCTAATTTTAGAAAGAAAAAGGTAGAGATTATAAGGAATTCAGAAGGTTAGAATTAGAGGGAACACAAAGAGTGGATGCACCTGGACCATTGCAAACGATTCTGAGCCATGTCGTTCAAGGTCTCTAACCACCGGTGACTATCGTCTCGCAGACACCAACCAGGTAGTCGATACTTACTGAAATCACTCAGTTCACTTGTCAGTGACTTCATGGACTTGTGCCATGTTTTGGTTTGGCCGCCCCTAACTTTCTTCCAACCTACTCCTACACTACAAAACATAGCTCGTCGAGGCAGTCGGTGGTTAGCCATACGTAACACATGTCCCAACCACCTCAACTGATGAAGTTTCACTACTTCATTTATTGACCTGCCATCTTTACCTAGTACTCATTTCCTAACTATAGCATTGCTTAATCGGTTGTCCCAGGATATACGAGCAGTGCTTCAAAGACATCTATAATCGAAAACTAATAACCTATGGATATCCTCTACTCTAACCGACCATGTTTCACATCCATATAGTAGGACGGAGCCAACTGCTGTGCAGTAGACTCATCCTTTGATTAGCAAACGGATATCTCACCTACGCCCTAGGTGACGCAAGTTAGCAAAAACCAATCGAGCTTTCTATATCCGTACTGAGATTTCGTTATTGATTTAAAACATTTCTAACAAAAAGTAACACCATTATCATCATCATCATCATCAACATTAACATGAAATTTAAACATACATCACGTATTTCCATAAACTTTTGATGTTTTCTAGCTAGATTTTCTCTTTCTTTACGTAAATTAGCTAATTTTTGATTTAGTTGACTTGTAGATAAATAACGTTGATCTGATTTAATTCCATGTTCATTTAATTGTTCCAATAATAAACGTTCAACTTCATGACGTAGCTTTCGTAAAGTTTCAGGATCATCACGTAGCTGATCTAATAAACGACTATATCGTAACATATTTGTACTGGCATTTAAACTTGGTGTTGGACCTGAGGACAAGCAAAAAAATTGAGAAAAAAAAAGATGGATAAATCAATCAATAACAATGTTACTCCTGCAAGTAAACACGTCATTTTGATATGCTTGAACTATTTATTACGAGTTTACCTTAGTCGGAAACGCGAGAGCGAGGATCGAGTATCCGACGACACGACATGCTACTGAAATCCGATTATCCCAACCCTCATATTGATTAAAAATAAGAAGACTTGAATGTGAAGTAGAACCTGTATTCTGCAAGCATCCAGAAAGTACGAGGTCCGAGTCTCGAAGAGAATCAGGATCCCGGAGTAGGGATCCGGGACCGGGTGCTGGTCCTGCTCCTGGTCATAAACGTTACAGATAATGCGTGTTTACGCATTTTGGTCGAATAGGAAACAGCATCGAAGTCTGTGACATTGACAGTTAAGACGACCAATAGGAAGTAACATTTGAAGTGACATTGATAGTCAGGACAACCAATAAGAAACAACTTTGGAGCACGTGACATTGATATCCAGGATGACCATAAAATTGATCAGTAAAAATTAACCAATAGGAATTGCCCAATTGTTCTCTTAGGATATTGGATGAATATCCTAACAAACAACAAGTCGGTGTATTGACAGTGTAGTCTTGTTGTAATTACATAACAGACAAGGATTATGTGTTGGTCATTTTTTTCCCAACGAACATAGAGTTTCAACAAAGCAGACAAAGATATAAACTTACTGATATTGGCTAATCATTAAGTCGTGGGCAAAATCAATAATTGGTGCAGTCTTATGTATTGATTAAGTAGTAATATTCAAGGTGTAGTGCGACAACTCGTCCGAGCGACATGGCGTAGTCAGTAGTTTGTTTACATGTTAAGTGGTAGTCGGAAGGAAACATTGAACCAAGGTTTTGTGGTGAATAGCTTGGTGATAACAGCTCAGAATGTGAGTCTGGAAACAGGGTACTATCAGTCTCCAGAAGATTGTTAGTACAACTTATTGACAAGTGCTAACTGGTACTAAATACCTCTAATACATTAACTTACTCATTGTAATATTAGAACAAATATATCAAATTTGGTAACACAATCTTTGTACCACAACCACTTCTTCAAGTCAACATCAGTGAAATGATAATAATTCATTCTGTTTTATTAATATCATGAGTATTGATCATGTCATCTGTTACGTTCGTCTCTAGGTATGCTTAAACTATTACGGGTTCACCTTAGTCGAATAACAAGAACAAAACAATGAACCAGCGTCCAGGTAGGCTACTGTGACCAATCGACCCAATTGTACCAGCAAGAAGTTTTGATATAGTGTAGAAATTGTATTCTACAAACACACATCCAGCACATAATGAATCCAAGCACTCAAATTGTGTTTATTTATATTCTACAGAGACGTCCTTGGGACAGTCATAAAAATAACACACTAAAATGACACAGTAACCAATCACAGTCAAGGATTTTCCTGGTGGGAAATGTGATCTCAAGGTGAACTGATCGGTCCATGAAATAAATCCAAAATAAAGATATTTATCAAGCTAGTTCCGAGGATCTAACATGCCCAACATCATCCCATAATTAATTTATGTGAAGTTTAGCATTCGAAAGTCAATAATTTCATTGATAAACTTTTATTTTGTTATGTTGATAAACATTTTTATTTACTACTAAGTAATTGACAAAAATTATCTTCAAACATTTTAAAACAATCATAATAAACATTTTGATTAAAAGTGTAATTTTTAACTTCACCTACATGTGAAATAATTGATTTGTTATTTAATGAACAGTTAATTAGTGTTAAGCTTCTGTTAAGAATTGTAAAATGAATAACATCTTATTTTCTTGTAAGTAGCTAAGTCGAAAGCACTGAAATACAATGAATTCATGATGTATTCATTGTAATGATTTAGTTGTTTTTTTATTGAATTTGTGAAAGGGCGCAAATCGCATGCAATGTAAAATTGTCAGTGAGATAGACTTCAAAGTGCAACAAACAATTTTCTCAGTATAGAGTTGCGTAGATTGTTGAGTTCCTTTGAATTCATGAACTAATCAATGTTGGACCACCATTGCAAACTTCGAAGCACTAGATGGCTGTTTCGTCCTAGTGTGAGACTCAAAAGCAGTGAGCACCCACAAATCCAAGGGCGGGAATCGTATCTAAGGACTTTAGGTCTCAACACACGAACGCTTAACCTCTTGACCACTGAGTCGGCATCCAACGGTGTTAATGGATAACACGATATTGCGCGACCTAAGAGATTATCTTCGGTGGGTAACTAACTCACACCTATCACGACTAAACTCCACTGGTGACAGCTTCGCAATAGGACTCAGAGAATCTTCTCACGGAGAGTGTCAGTAGTGATAATATGCTAACTGTCACTATAGAGCCGTGATGTTACACCGTGTCGGGTATGAGGTAATTAGACACTGAAGATAATGGATGAGGTCCCCGTCCGATGCCGTCTCAATGGTCTGGAGGTGAGTGCTCGTGTACGAAATCGAATGTCCTGCGTTCGATTCCTGTTCAAGAGGTCGTGGATGTGCACTGCTACTGAATCCCATTCTAGGACAAAACGACCGTCCAGTGCTTCCAAATTTTCAGTGATAGTCCAACGTTGATTAGCTCATGGTTTCAATCAACGAATAGTTATTTTATGTTTCAATGAATTCTCAACTTAAATATCAGTGATAAAACAATGTTAATTCATGTGTCGATTAGAATTAATTGTGCTCGAGTAGTCTATGAATAAATATCTGTAATTTTTTAAAAAAAACTTCCATTATGATGATAAACATAATGATTAATCTTAAATTAAATAAGCATTCAGTTTACAATTGATGAATAATCGCATTATATCAGTAGTATTATAATTAAGAGAGATAATTAAACAATTCAACTTCTCCTATATGTACATTAATAATTTGTAGTTTGGTAATTTATACAATTACTTACTTGTATCTCCTGATGCAGTTAATACACGTCCCATTGCTCGAGAAACTTGTTGTGCTTCCGATTCATCATTGTCACCATGACCCGCAACACTAGCGAATTGAGATTTCGATGAATAAGGTCGTACAAATCTTGTTGTTGATCCAGAAATAGTTGAACCATGAACAGTGGACTCTTTATCATCGGTAGTTGGTAAACTGTGACGAGCGCTCATTTCACTATGGCCTGCATTACGAATTTTACTGGATTTTTGTAATGTTGTATTAGCTGATGTTGTTCGACTTGGTCGAAATACAGGCTGATCAACAAAATAAATGATCATAATAAAGAAACAGTTGGTTAAAAATAGTATAAAATGTCAAATATTATGGCCAATATCTAGATATACACGTACTTACTTACTTACTTACTTACGCCTGTTACCCCCAATGGAGCATAGGCCGCCGACCAGTATTCTCCAACCTGAAAATCCGTATTGAAAATCCTGATTTTGGTGTTGATTGATATTTGTTTGAAGTTCCAGATATCTTTCAATTGTAGAAATGCAGCCCTTGCTTTGCCAATCTGCGCCCTCACATCTGCATCGAATCCACCTTTCTCATCGATGAGGCTGTCCAGATGTGTAAGGGTGCTAACGTCTTCCAAGGCATCTCCATCAAGAGTGATTTGGTTGGTGCATGTTGTGTTGTATCGTAGAATCTTGCTTTTCTATTTATGTATGTTGAGACCTGCTGCTGTAGAGGCTGCTGCTAGACTGGTCATCTTCTCTTGCATTTGTTGTTGCGTGTGCGATAGAAGAGCCAGGTCATCTGCGAAGTCCAGATATTCCAGCTGCGTCCTAGCTGTCCAGTGAATACCGTGCTTCCATCCAGATGCTGACGTCTTCATAATCCAGTCGATCACCAGGAGGAAGAGAAAGGGTGAGAGTAAGCAACCTTGCCTGACACCGGTCTCTACCTCGAAAGAGTCTGTTAGCTGTCCTCCGTGTACGATTTTGCAGTTGAGTCCATCATAAGAATTCCGTATGATGTTAACTATCTTCTCGGGCATGCTTTCTCGTAGTCGATGAAGTTGATGTATACTGGTGAGATATACAGTTATGACCACAAAAATTTTTTAAACAGTAAAATGCGATCCAGTAATGATATTCCAGACAAAATAGTGAAAGCAACCTAAGAGCAAAACACATGAAACTACAAGAAACCATGGATGAAAATGTAAACAAGAAATCGCCTATTATTTACGTAGATTTGTATTTTATTTGCCAGAGATTGGTAGTTGAAAGTAAGTAGTTCAGTTCATTCTTTTCTCATCAGATTGTCAGACACCAATGATATCTCGGATTGTACCCTGTAAAGTGATAGCTCATAAATTTTTCATACACGCGCCTGAATAGGTTATGCGGTTAATCGACATCAACGACATGTTAAAACAAATAGAAAGCGGTAACTTGTTGAAATATTTTGATGTTACGAAGCGCGTAGCCCAAATATTCAAGCAGGCCGACTTGCGTATTTGCTTAAACATATATCATACATTTAGAAGTTTTTTTGAGTAGGATTTTTAGTTCTGATCATTACTGTGTAATGTATCCTAATATCAATTGGTAAAATCAAATTATGTAACCCAACAGTTGAAACATTCAAAAGTCTGCCTCTGAAAGAATCAATCTGTATACTTGTAGATACGATTGTACAGCTCACGAAAATGAAATCATTGGAAAAGAAAACTTTCTTTTAAAGAAATTTATACAAATCTCTGACAAATGTATTATGAATTATGTATTATAACAGAATGTAGTACTAAAAAACTTACTCCAGATGTATCATTTTCTAATTCGCCCAAATTAGAAAGAGCTGAAACGAATAAAAATAAAAATATTGAAACATTGAAACAAATAGAGTAGAAGTATGTTGCGAATTAATTTACTTCATGTTTAAGTTTAGTAAGTGGTTTTATGTTAAAAGTTTTTAAATTTATAATGGTTCATGGTAGGCAATCCAGTTACTAAAACACAGTAATCTACAGAGAAGTTCTAGCCTACAGCCTATTTAGTAGTTGCTAATTCATTTAGCCATCGCTGCTTTTCATCTAAGCAAGATTCTGCGATGTATAACACAACATGCGCCAACCAAATCACTCTTGATGGAGATGCCTTGGAGGACGTTCAAACCTTTACACAACTGGACAATCAAGGTGGATCTGATGAAGATGTGAGGGCGCGAATAGGCAAAGCAATGGCTGCATTTCTACAATTGAAAAATATCTGGAACTCCAAACAATTATCAATCAACACCAAAGTCAGGATTCGCGATACAAATATCTAGACAGTTCTTATGTATAGAGAGGAAACTTGGCGAAATACGAAAGACATCATCCAGAAGATACAAGTATTTATTAACCGTTGTCTACGCAAAACACTTCGAACTCGTTGGCCAGACACAATCAGCAGCAACCTATTGTGGGGGAGAACAAACTAGATTCCATTGGATGAAGAAGTGAAGGAAGTGGATAGGACACACTGCGAAAAACACTCAACTGCGTCACAAGACAAGCCCTCACAAGGAACCCTCAAGGTCGAAGGAAAACAAAAAGGCCAGGAAGCACATAACGCCGAGAAATAGAGAATGAACAAAAATTGGACAGAACTGGAAAATGAAACCATGGACAGAGTAGGTTTCAGAATGTGGTGGTGTTTCGTTCTCTGAGCTGGTTGTTTTGGTTGTGGAGCTTTCATTGTTCTTCTGAACAACATCATCAGCACAAACTTAAGATCGGTTTCAGAATACTGGTGGACGGCCTATGCTCCGTTGGGGGTAACAGGCGTAAGTAAGTTGGTAAGTAAGCTTTTCGTCTAATTGCAAAGATTATTCATCAGAATAAATTTCTTATCATAATACAGCAAGCAAACTTATTTTTCATCAATTCCTATTACTCAACTATAGTCTTACACCAATGTATTGTTTAATTATTTAGAAAAAATCAATATTTTCACGTAAATATCCAAAAACCCACTATTATGGCGGATCCTGTAAGTGTGGTGGAGTTTTGTTCTCTGAGCTGGATGGTGTTTTAGTCATGAAGCTTTCATTGTTCTTCAGCCGAACAACATCATCAACACAAACTTCAAATAGAAGTGAAGCATTCGAATTTCTCCACATTTGACCCGTAGATTGATTTGTTAACCTCGGTCTTTAACCGTAAACCTGTCGTTGTTTGCACGTTAACTTTGATTGTATGCCCCTTTGATCGAGTTCTTGATCCTATGTTTGCCAATGATTTTTCTGATTGGTTGATAAATTGGGTCAATGTCGATGTGTTTGTCGATAGCTGACTGACCTGAGAATGCTAAGCTTCTAAGAATTCTCCAGTGTTCTAGATGCTTCTCCTATCCAGCATTTCAACTAGGTTTCAAACGAACGCATGTTTATAGTTGTCCTTATATATATATAAGAGCGATCTTATAAGACAAAAATGAAATCTGATAAGCTTGTATCTTAAAGAAACGTATTAGGGGAGATAAAGAGAGAGAACAATCGTATGAATTGATGGCACTACCTGGCCAGTTAAACAAGTTGTGCCTGCAGTTTGTGTAGTTCGAATAGATCAACAGTAAAATATATCAGCAAACTGACAATATATACATATTTACATAGAGAATGTATATACACATGAAAAGATTTTTAAAAAATTCCCATAGTGATTATGAGAGAACAACACGTATAACTGAATACTATTGTTGTCAACTAGATCGTCATCAGGCTTCATGCTAGATATTTAAGTATGTTAGAGTAAAGCCTGCTGACAGTCTAACTGACACTCGTGAAAAAATCACACTTTCGACAGGAACTCTACTCGTCACAATCCACTAACTAGACAACTTCAGATGAGATTGTGGGTGCTTATTTACCTAAAAGATGCATTCGAGAACAAAACAGTCTCGCACAATGCCATACAATTTTCAGTCTATGAAAATCTCTATAAAATTAAAGTTATGTGGAAAAAAACTATTTTTGATTGTCATATTTATATACTACTAATTTCACCTGGTCTCGATTTGAGTTTATTTAATTCTTCTTGTGTTTGATGACATTGAACTTGTAGATTGTGAATTTCTTTTTCAAATCCTTTTCTTATTAATTCAATATCACGCTAAAGAAAATAGAAAATATCGAATAAAAAATTTGTTTTATACAATAATACGATTAAGATTGCAGCATTTGATGAGTTTTATTTGATAACAATAGTTAGTCAGTCAGTCAGATGCAACGTAGAACTTCGTACGTAAGTACATCAGTTCATGTTGCCATACCACATCAGCACAGAGATATATAACTGTAAATTCAAAACCAATAGTAGAAGAGGTAGTAAAGGTATCAGAAGTAATTGGAGAGGTTAGGATTAGAAGATATTATTCAAGAAATATGATTCAGTGAGAAAAGTTTAGAAAGTCAAAAGTAGAGGGGTTGAAGAATTCAGAAGATTAGGATTTGAGGGAACACAAAGAATAAATGCACTGGCGCCATTGCGAACGATTCTGAGCCATGTCATTCAAGGTCTCTAACCATCGATTATTATCATCTCGCGGACCCCAACCAGGTAGTCGACAATTACCAACATGGCTAAGTCCACTTGTCAATGACTTCATGGATTTGTCTCATATTTTGGTTTAGAAGCCCATAGCTTTCTTCCAGCCTACCCTCACATCACAAAGCATTGCTCATCAAGGTAGTTGGTGGTCGGGCATAAGTAGCACATTGCTCGACCACCTCAACTGATGAAGATTCACTACTTTATCTATTGATCTGCCATTCTTACCTAGCAGCCGCTTCCTAATAACAGCTTTGCTCACTCGGGTGTCCCAGGATATACGAGCAATGCTTTGGAGACACCTTTGATCGAAAACCAGTAACCTACGAATATCTACTATTCACACTGCATTTGATAACAATGATTCAATAATGATTTGTATAGATAACTTGCACAAGGATCGTACTTGCGGCGTATTGGTATTTTAAATTTACAGAATTTCAATGGAATCAAGTAAGAGAATAACTATCAAATATATTTATTAATTATTCATAATCAATTGTTCAAACGTCTTCTATAATACGGTGTACTTGAAAAGATACTCAACATCATATGGAATTCTTATGATGGATTAAACTGCAAGGTAACTATGCATGGAGGGCAGCTCGCGGATCTATTCCAAATGAAAACCGGTATCAGACTAGATTGCTCACTCTCACTCTTTATCTTTCTTCTACTGGTTGAGTGGATTGTGAAGACGTCAACATCTCAGAAGAAGCACAAAAAACAGAGGGGAACTAGAATGCAGTGGGACGATCTGAACTTCGAAGATGATCTGGATCTTCTATCTTACATACAACAACAAATGTAGATGAAGACAGACAGTGTAGCAGTAGCAACCTCGACAGTATTAGGTCTCAACATACTCAAAGGAAGAAGCAAGATCCGCTGATATAATACAACATGCACTCACCAAATCACACATGATGGATAAGCTTTAGGTGATGTAGAAACATTTACATATCTGGGCAGCATCATTGACAAGCAACGTGGATCCGATGGAGATGTGAAGGCGCGGATCGGCAAAGTAAGGGCTGCATTTCTACAGTTAAACAACATCTGGAACTCATAACAACTATCAATCAATACCAAAGTCAGAATTTTCATTAATGTCAAAACAGCTTTATTGTATAGCGCGGAAAGCTGGAGAACTACGACAGCTATTGTACAAAAGTTACTGATGTTTATTGACAGTTGTTTACGCAAGATACTCAGGATCCATTGGTCAAACACAATCAACAACAACTAACTGTGTGAGAGAACTAACCAGCTTCCAGTGGACGGAGAAATTAAGAAAAGGCGCTGGAGGTCGATAAGACAAACACTGCGGAAATCACTCAACTGAGTGACAAGACAAGGCATCACATGAAATCCCCACGATAAAAGGCGAAGAAGAAAAAGAAGATCAAGGAACACATTGCGCCGAGAATTGGAGACAGACATGCAAAGAATGGATAGCAATTGAGAACAACTGGAGACGAGTGGCCTGGATAGAGGTGGTTAAAGAATCCTGGTCGATGGCCTCTATGCTCCACGAAGGGTAACAAGCGTAAATAAGTAGTAAGTTACAGTTCAATACAAATTTTAGAAAAAAACAGATTTTATTACTGACGTATGCACCTTACAAATATTTGTGTCAGCTAAACTTGGCGGCTGTTAGTGTGATAAGAATGAAAATGTCATTACTAACTTCATCATGATTACCATGGTATTAGTACATGTTAAGATTATGCATGATTACAGACAGTTCCTTTAAGAGTACAATTTATCTTGGTATCAAGTGCCAATTAGCATGAAACATAGAAGATACAAAACTAGCTTTGGTTACTCGCAACTCCGCTTAAATTTGCTTTGGTAATCTTTCAGCCATTTTATAGCGTTGGGTAATGAGATAAATTTCTAGCCTTTCCATACTTTATCAAGTCTATACGTTTTTCTCTGTTATTTACAATTATTACTTAATATTTATTTTAAGCCTTGATTTGATTTCCATTATAGAGTTGAGGAGATTGTTGAGTTTCTTTGAACTCATGAATCGATCAATGTTAGACCATCATTAGAAACTTGAATGGACTGGATTATCGTTTCATCCTAGTATAGGAAACAGCAGCAGTGAGCATTGACCTTGATTAATCTCAGCTACAATGTAAAACTTCGTACGTACATACATCAGTTCAAGTTACCATACTGCATTAACACGGAGATGTAATTGTCTATTCAAATCCCATAGTGTGGTAGATGTAGTAGAAGTATTAGCGGAAATGGAGAAGATTCGAAGATATGAATCGAGAAATATAATCCAGCGTAATCAATTTTAAAAGAGAAATATAGGCGGTCATGGGGAACTCATAAGATTAGAATTTGAGAGAACACAAAGAATAGATGCACCTGCACCGTTGCAAACGATTTTGAGCTAAGTTATTCAAGGTCTTTAACCATTGGTTACTATAATCTTGCGAATCCCAAAAAAGCTGGTCTACACCTACTAACATGGCTCAGTTCAGTTTTAAATGACCTCATGGATTTGTAACATATTTTGGTTTAGCCGCCCATAGCTTTCTTCCAGCCTATCCTCATATCACAAAGCATTGCTCATCAAGGTAGTAGTTGGTGGTCGGGCATAAGTAACACATGACTCGACCACCTCAACTGATCAAGATTCATTACTTCGTTCATTGATTTGTTATCCTTCCCCTAATACTCCTTTCCTAACACCAGAGCATTGATTAATCGATTGTCACAGGATATACGAGCGATGCTTCGAAGACATTCATGATTGGAACACTAGTATAGTATGAATATCTTCTCTTTCTAGCTACCTTTCATACCCGTAAGGTACGACGCGCCGAACTGCTGAGTAGTAAATTCATGCCTATGTTAGCAGATGAATATCTAGCATACGCCATAAGCCATGCAAGTTGGCAAAAGCTAGTCGAGGCTTCTGTATCCGTGCTGAGATTTCGTCGGACATCAGGATATCAGCACTGATGACACGCCCAATATAAGTGAACCAGTCAACATGCTCAACTACTTCACTCCCTAAAATAATCACTAAATAATAATAATAATAATAATAATAATAATAATAATGATAATAATAATAATAATAGTGCATACTCTATGCTCTTCCATTAATTGTGTATGCCAATCTTTATCGTTTTTAGTTTGTTCTTTAGCCAATTCCACATCGAAACCAATCGAATTAACTGGTGAATGATGATGTTGATTTGGTAAATTTGAAGGATTCGACTTCAGCTGATTTAACAATTCTCTAACATCACGTTCTAAAGATGTATTCTGTGAGGAAAAAAGAAAAGTAAACGAAGAAAACCAATTAAAGAAGATTTTTTCAATGTAAAATATAAGAAACTTAGTTTGTGTTTAAGCTGAACGGTTTCATTTTGAAAGCTTTCATTGTATTTATGAATAACATCACCAATACGTGCTTCAATACAAAAAAAGAGCTATCATCTCTAGATACCGTTTCCGTAGTCCATAGGTTCGGTGATCGCGCGCAAGACCGAAGGTCCTGGGTTCGAATCTTGCGGAGTGCAGGAACCGTGAATGAGCACTGCTGAAGAGTCCCATACCAAGACGAAACGGCCATTCAGTGCTTCCAGGCTTTTAATGTTGGTCTAACATTGATCGATTCATGATTGCAATTAGATCTCATAGTTGTCAATAGTTTTCCAACTTGAATGTTAACTTTATCAATAAGCTTTTAGTAAGTTGTAGAGAAATTCTAATAGCTAATTTTTTTTCGAAGTAAGTACTAATAATGTTGTTCAGAAAAACAATGCAAGTCATACAACCAAACTATCTCATCCAAAGGCTAGAACAAATCCAAAATCCTTCATCCAGAGCTATAAGTAAGTATTCTCCACATCTCATATAAGAAAATTAAATGTTAGAAATTTACAGACAGTAAAAATACGTGAAAAAAGTATTGTGTTCGTCACTAAGTATGCTTGAGAATATTACGAGTTTACCTTAGTCGATAAACGCGAACGAGACTTTTACCAGCATACAGGTAGGCTACCTTGAATCCGAGGCTGAAATAAAAAGGCTTGTAAGCGTAGAAAGTATATTCTACAAACACCCAGCAATCACAGTACAATCAAGCATACAACTCTCGTTTATTTATACATCATAGACACGTCCTTTAGACAGTTACAAAAATAGCACACTAAAATACACAGCAGCCAATGACAGCCATGGATTTTCCTGGTGGGAATTGAAATCTCAGGGTCAACTGATCAGCCCATGCTGGCAAACGTGAAAACCAAAATAGGGCATTTATCAAGCAAATTTTGAGGATCTAACATCCCCAACAAAAAGTGAATACAAGGAATTGATTCATAATTTAGCTTTTGCATGTACATTAAGCATGGTAGTTTATATTTCTGTAATATTCCAAATCTTTCTCTGTAGTTCCTGACCGTGGCTGCTACCTTGACGTGGAGGTCAGGTTTGCCTATCGTGATAGTCCAACCGCGCTATATCGAATGCAAGTGTTAGGATATTCACCAAATATCCTAAGAGTACTGTTTTTGGAAGTATAATCCTATTGGTCGATTTCTATTGGTCAAAATTATGGTCGTTTTAACTGTCAAAGTCAAATACTTCAATGTTGTCTCTTATTGGTCAATGTCAATGTCATTTCGGATGTTCTTTCCTATTGGTCGTCCTAAACTGCCAATGCCAAAGACTTTGATGCTCTTTCCTATTCGACCTAAATGTATAAATACGCACCATCTATAAGACTTCAGGATTCCGTTTCTTCCTGCCTACCTCTCTTCTGTACTCGACCAGACTACGCAGATTGAGTGGAGAACGATAACAGTAAAAGCCGAAACTTAAGATCTGAGGGCGAAGTTTTACTGTTGACGATTTCATCCATCTGTACATATTAAATGAGTCATATTTCGATGGATGGGCAAAGAATAATTTAGTAACATCAAAACTTTACAAAATATGTGTACTTGCAAATTATAAATAGAAAAACTCTTCTTTCTGTTTAATATTAGAAAAGGTGATCTGACATTACTGTTTTAAGGGTAAGGAATCAGTAAGTTAGTCACGCATCATATTCAACAAAGATCTTGGCATCTATATGCAGCGGTTTGTTGAATAAATTCCAATTCGTGCCCTTTGATTAAAATCATAGAGAATGTTACAGTTGTGTTATTTTAACTTGATGTAGAAAATCATTAAGAATCTATTGAAAACCAAACAACCCCTTTTCTCTTGATATAAAGCTCTCCTCAGCTGAGTGTGATAAATATTTGGCAAAGGATAAAACCTGAAAAATAGTTTTTACAAAGGAACTCTATATTTTCATCTCCAGTCAATTTGACGTATTACGCAATCCAACTAAATATCTTTGCCATGGAGGATACCATTTTCATAGTTGAACTTTCCAGATTACGAGGAATTCAAAAATTCTCAAATCCAACCTGTTGGGGATGTTAGATCCTCAAAACTCGCTTGATAAATGCCTTATTTTGGTTTTCATGTTTACCAGCATGGGCTGATCAGTTGACCCTGAGATTTCAATTCCCACCAGGAAAATCCATGGCTGTCATTGGCTGCTGTGTATTTTAGTGTGCTATTTTTGTAACTGTCCAAAGGATGTTTCTATGTGGTATAAATAAACGAGAGTTGTATGCTTGATTGTACTGTGATTGCTGGGTGTTTGTAGAATATACTTTCTACGCTTACAAGCCTTTTTATTTCAGCCTCGGATTCAAGGTAGCCTACCTGTATGCTGGTAAAAGTTTCGTTTGCGTTTATCGACTAAGGTAAACTCGTAATATTCTCAAGCATGCTTAATGACGAACATAATACAACCAACCACTATTGAGTAAATTATTATCTGGTTCGTCTTTTTCTTCGAAAATTTGTGATATTCTTCGAATATTATCCAGTTAAGTTAACAAATAGTAATTAATGAACAAGGAAAAGTAGTATTTTCTGAAGATACTCTTCAAAATTATTTGAAAATGAAATGATTAACACTATTTTAAACTTCATTTCAATAACCAATATGATGATTAAAATATCTGCGGAAACATATGATTTCAATGATGAGTACTTAAGAAATTAACAATTTCTAAATCAAAAAAATGATACTTTTCACTTAAAATCTAATTCAATTCTGCAGATAAAAAAGACTATCGTAAATCAGAAAATACAATTAACAAAGTTTAAAACTAACTTACCATGTTACTATTATTAACATTACGATTATTAATATTATCATTATTATTATTATTGTGATTATTATTTGTTGTCAATGACTTCATGGATTTGTGTCACATTTTGCTTCTTCCAGCCTACCCTCATATCACAAAGTATTGCTCATCAAGGTAGTAGTTGGTGTTCGGGCATAAGTAATACATTGCTCGACCACCTCAACTGATCAAGATTCATTACGTCGTTCATTGATTTGTTAGCCTTACCTAATACTCGTTTCCTAACACCAGAGCATTGATTAATCGATTATCCCAGGATATACGAGCGATGCTTCGAAGACATTCATGATCGGAATACTAGTATAGTATGAATATCCTCTCCTCTTTCTAGCCATCTTTCATACCTGTAAGGTACGACGGGGCGAACTGCTGCGTAGTAAATTCGTCCTTAGGTTAGCAGATGGATATCTAGCCTACGCCATAAGCCATGCAAGTTGGCAAAAGTCAGTTGAGGCTTCTGTATCCGTGCTGAGATCAGGCTGTCAGCACTGATGACACACCCAATATAAGCGAAGCGGTCAACACGCTCAACTACTTCACTCCCCGTAGATGCTGGTTGTCCAAGGGAAACACCTTACTGCTGTCACACCCCTCCATCACAGTCAGCAGTACGACTTTGCTCTCAGACCTTGAGTAGCTGTTTTTAGTCTCATCGTTCTCCAATCGACCTGCCTGGCATGCGCAGAACCTTCAGGAACATATGTTCCAGCCAGTATAGCTCGGTCGGGTCATCACGATAGTCAAGCCCGACCATCACGTCAAGGTAGCAGCTACGGTCGGGATTAACAATTTCTAAATGAAAAATGATACTGTAGTGAACAAGAACACAGGTGGGGCAACCGGATTGTATTTAACGAAAATTACAGAGTTACTCTGTAAAATCGGAAAACCATATCGTAAATTGTTCATTTGCAAAATATCAGTTTATCCTATCGAACTGGACTGTTCCTGTTGCAAAACATCAATCCATTGTCACTATTCATGCGTTTCATACAAATTCCATTGTTTTCTAACTCTTCCTTTCTTGATCTTCCCCCATCTTCTGCTGTCAGACATTACGTTGACACTCACGCCATATACTACTTATAAGTAGCTCACATCACAATACTTTTCAATAAAATCTAATTCATTTCTGAAGAACAACATTATCCAATGTCAGAAAAAATACACATTTTCTTGAAAATACAATTAACAAAGTGTTAAAACTAACTTACCATGTTACTATTATTAACATTACTATTATTAATATTATCATTATCATTATTATTATTATTATTGTTATTATTATTATTATTTGTTGTATAGGCATAATCAGATTGTTGATAGAAATGTTGTGTTTGTTGTGGATAAGGTGTTACATTATTATTATTATTAAGATTGGCTTTTACATATGGATTTGATATACAAACTGGTGTATTTCTAGTCATCGTTTCCATTTCCGGATGTCGACGATGAATATGCGTAGCTAGAAATGATGCATTTATAAAAGCTTTAGGACAATAAATACATTGATGTAATGATTGTGGACCAGAATCCATCAGTTGTTGTTGAGCTATTAATAATAAACGTCGACGATGACATTCACGACGAGTGGCTGTAAGACGATTGGTTTTCTCTTGAAGTTGATGTTTTAATTTATCACAATTCTAAAAAAAAAAAAGAAAAGAAAAAATTATTGATGAAAATATTTGAAAATGCATTTTCGTAGCTTTTTCAGCACTTTGTCAACTGAGCACTTATGATGATTTTCAGTTTCAAATAAATACAGTAAACAATAGTCAAGACATATATATTCAGCTGACAAATTATGAAATGGCTTGATAATTATATTTTTTCAATTCTAATCGTCCCAAGCAATAATCATGTTGTTATTTGCTTAACATATTATTTTGTTTACGCGAAGATCATTATAGCTTTTAGGAAATTATTGCCATGCACAACAAACCTGCTTATAGCGAGAAAGATGGACACAGTCACCAGATAATCGAAAATTAGTTGATGCTGTCTATGTAGACTTTAGAAAAGAATTTTCTAAGGTGCGGAACAATTGATGTCTCTTAAAGTTGGAAAGTCTAGGAATTGCCGGACCTCTTCTAAAGTGGATCAAAGATTTCCTGTTAAGTCGGAGACAAAAGTAAGAATAAATTCTAAATAATTCTCCTGAGGACCGATACTTATTAGGGGGCCACAGGAATCTCTTTTAGATCCCTTACTTTTTATACTATATTTAAATGAACTCTCAAATGTCATCAAGCCAACGATATAACTTTATGCTGATGTGAAAATTTCGGGAGACACAGCAGGGGATGAAGCGCAGGTGCACTTCAAGCTGACTCAGACGTTGTGGTCTGCTGGTCTAAAGTATGGCCGACGCGTAAACGCAGTAAAGTGTGTCTATTTACACATTGAAGATAAAAGGACAAATATAGCCAGTTTTTGCACAACTGATGTTTTTGAACTCATATAGAACTTCTGACTTGCATCCAGTTCGTTGAAGTTGATTGGATGAAGCAGTTAAGCGTTATAAAGCATAAGAATTTTGTTGGTCCGACCGTAGCTGCTACCTTGACGTGGTGGTCAGGTTTACCTATCGTGATGACCCAACCGAGCAATATTGACTACAACACATGTTCCTTCACGTCCCACCAGACCACTAAGGTTGAGTGGAGAACGATAACACTAAAAGCAGAAACTTAAGGTCTGAGGGTGAAGTCGACCTGCTAACTGACTTAGAGGAGTGTGACAGCAATAAGGTGTTTCCTTTGGACAACCAGCATCTGCAGAGACATTGCCTTCTCATAAAGCAAGGAAGGGAATAAAAGGGTCAACCCTAAATATTTAACACCTCACCTTATCCCACGGATTCCTGTTGTAGTGAATCATTCAATGCCTAGCTCACATGACTCATCCAACTTGTCTTCGGACCTTGTCAATCATTCGTCACTGGCATTCGTGTATGTGCATGCTTATGTTGCTTAATACATGTCTGGCTTATTTTTGTCTGACTATAAATTCTTAGTCATGCTTTATCTGGGGGAGTTGGCTCACTAGCCTTCTTCACTCCACCTCATCCGCCAATTCGCTAGCTCGCTCGCTATTGTGCTTGCCCTTCTCTGTGTACTTGTGGACTGGTGTTATATTCGTGGTGTGCAAAAATAAACGTATTCAACGCTTCGTGTTCAGCTTCTGATTAATAAACCGTCAGGTGGTATTTAGTAACGATTGATTGGACGTGTAAATTACGAAGTTTAGGAGCACGCTGGATACCGACTGTCACGAAACTAGTGATACTTTGCTCACCACACCGTCTTCAGAGGTAAGGCATTACTGAGAGCGGTGGTACCACTTTAAAAACTTGCCATAAAGAGTTCGTGCTTGACCGGCATCAAGCATTCGACTCTTGGGCTGTGTGTTTACGCTTCTAGGTCTCTAAGACCAACGCCAATCTAACTTCTTTTTCAGGTTTCTTATGAAACACCCTTCCACGATGTGGTTAGCCGGGAGGTGACATCCTCCCTCATACTCCTAACAGTAAACGAGGTCGTCGAGGAGTAGGTTATAAGCTAGGGGCGGGCAAACCAAAACATGGAACAAATCCGTGAAGTCGTTGACAACTGGATTGAGCCATGTTGGTAGGTGTAGAACACCTAGTTGGGGTCCGCGCGACAATCATAAACGATGGTTAGAGACCTGGAACGATGTGGCTTAAAATCGTTTGCAATGGAGCAGATGCATCTCTCCTTTGTATCCTCTGAAATTCTAATCTTCTGAATTCCGCATAACCTCTATCTTTTTCTTTTTAAATTTATTTCAATCAATTTCAATCCAATCTTCGATCACTCATCTTTTCAGTTACCGCTATTACCTGTATTACTATGGGATTTGAATTGACAATTCCATCTTTCTATGCTAATGCGGTTTTGTAATTTGAACAGATGTATGTACATACCAGGTTCTACATTGTTGCCGACTGACCGACTGACTGATTCAAACAAAAATCATTATCAGTTGAGCAATAGATTATAGTCTTCATAATGATAAACAGTGTTGTACATCTAGCTTTACTTTGAATGTGCGAAATCATAAATCAGCGGAAGGAAACTCAGTATTTCAATATCACTGACAGAGGAAACCTTGAGTTAGTTGTAGTATCTGCCTGTAAAACAGTAAAACAATTCTTAGTTTTTTTGAGTAATGGAGTCCATGATGTGTGTTTTGTCTTACTTTAAGACTTATCAATTGAATATACCGGCATCTTAGTGGTAACATTAAAACGGAAACATAAACTTTGTGCGTTTCACTTTTGAATTTGATACATCAATGAATAACAGCATTACCTTTCGTACTTTCTAGATTTCACTTAATTTAAATACAGAGCAACTGAAATCAATCAGTTTTAGTCATATATTGTATGGACAACCAAAACATAAAGTAATTACAAACCTTTACCAATTAATAACAAAATAATTTACCTTATGAATCTCATTATTTTCTTCTTTAAGTGAATCAATTGTCGTTGTCAAATAATCTTGAGAATACTAAGCAACAAAAAGATAGGAATATATATGTATATATATAATTGAACAAATATTGTCCAGAAAAATAAAAACACCAAAGAAAATAAAAGTTGTCATTAACAATAATAAATAACAATGAGTACACCAGAAAATAAATGACTATAAACTTAATTTTTAGTATTTTCTGAAGAAAAATAAAACCGCAGATTATTCATTTTTCAATTAAAGTTATGGAGATCAGTGTTTTTGCACATACTGAAATCATGTGAATCAATCATTGTTAGATCATCATTATAAACCTGGAAGCTCAGTTATGTGATTGGCTTCGTTAAGGAAATTCTTGGAGTACTATAGGCACCTGAACTAGTGATAGGGAGTGAAGTTGTCGAGCGTGTAGAATGCTTCACGTATCTGGGGAGTCTCATTAGTGCTGATAGCCTGGTGACTGACGAAATCTCAGCGCGGATACAGAAGGTTCGATTGGCTTTTGCTAACCTGCGTCACTTATGAGGCAGGCGAGATATCCGTTTGCTAAGCGAAGGACGAGTGTACTGTGCAGCAGTTTGCTCCGACCTACTGTACGGATGCGAAACATGGCCGTTAAGAGTAGAGGACTTTCGTAGGTTACTAGTATTCAACCATCGAATTCTCCGAAGCATTGCTCGTGTATCCTGGGACAACCGCACAAGCAATGCTGTCGTTAGGAAACGAGTTTTAGGTAGGGATGGCAAATCAATAGATGTAGTAGTGAAAGTTGACCAGTTGAGATGGTTGGGACATGTTTTACGTACGCCTAACCACCGACTGCCTCGACAAGCTATGTTTTGTGGTGTAGGAGTAGGTTGGAAGAAAGTTAAGGGCGGCCATACCAAAACATGGCAGAAGTCCATGAAGTCACTGACAAGTGGACTGAATCATGTTGGTAGATAAAGGCTACCTGGTTGGGGTCCGCGAGACGAAAGTCACCGATGGTTAGAGACGTTGAACGACATGGCTCAAAATGGTTTGCAATGACGCAGGTGATTCCACTCTTTGTGTTCTCTCTAATTCTAACCTTCTGAATTCCTCATAATCTCTACCTTTTTCCTTTCTCCTTTCTAATTCTCGAATCATATCTTCTTATTCTAATCTTCTCGATTACTCCTAATACTTCTACTATTACTGTGGTGTGAGCTACTTATAAGTAGTATATGACGTGAGTGTCAACGTAATGTCTGGCAGCAGAAGATGGGGGAAGATCAAAAAAGGAAGAGTGGGCACACAATGGAATTTGTATGAAACGCATGAATAGTGACAATGGATTGATGTTTTGCAACAGGAACAGTCCAGTTCGATATGATGAACTGATATTTTGCAAATTAACGATTTACAATATGGTTTTCCAATTTTATTGAGTAACTCTGTAATTTTCGTTGAATACAATTCGGTTGCCCCACCTGTGTTCTCGTTCACTACATCACTATCGCTCTTGGATCTGAACCGACTGTTGAGTCTCTGTGCTGATGTGGTTTGGCAACCGGAACTGATGTACTTATGTACGAAGTTCTGGGTTGTATCTGTCTGTCTAGAGTTCTAGTGAGATGTGACCACAGGGATTTCAACCCTGTCGCGTGTAGGCGATGACTACCGAGGACAAATGAGTGTGGGGGTCATGCAAAATCCCTAGATCGGTCAGAGTTAGACATTAACACCACTCACTGGATGCCGGCCCAGTGTTTCAGAGGTTAGACGCTCGCGTGCAAGACCGACGATCCTGGGTTCGATTCATGTGAGTAGCGGGAGTCGTGGATGCACGCTGCCGATGAGTAGTCCTATATCAGGACGAAACAGCCATCCAATGCTTCCAAGTTTCTAATGATGGTCTAACAATGATTGACTGGAGGTTTCAATGAGTAATAAAATTTAAAGAAAATCTCATAAATAATTATAGGTAATACATAAACGCCATCTAAAACTAATTTGATAGAAATCATTGTCAATTTATGACTAATCACATTAAAAAATAGAGGAGAGATAATTAAAGTGATCTAACAACTAATGCGGTTATCAAGTGTTATTATTATCAATCTATTCCATTCACATTTCAAGTATCTCCTAGCAATATAAAGTAAATTAAACTTGTTATGATAAACATACAGTCCAAGCAAACATATGTGTCAACACCCAAAGTAGGCATATTATGTCAGCACATTATGATGAAATTAGTAGGATCAATGGCATGAACGTTAGACATTTTGGGAAGAAGATTCAGAAAAGAGGAACAATTTAGGAAGTAAATAGTAAGAAGCCCAATAATACTTAGGGAAAAGATAAAATGTAAGTTCATCGGTATCAGTGAAATCGATTCTAAGCAATGTTATCCAACATTTCCGACGATGATTGTCAAGAGAAGCTCAGTCAGGCAGTTTGCATACTTATTTGACAACCAATGATTTACGCACATTGACGCCATATTTTGTCTGTCTAAATCTTAAATTTCCCTAACAAATATTTTCAATTTGTGTTATCATTTAACATATTTCAGCCAAATGAATGAAACATGATATAATTATTATGAGTAAAAAAAAAGTCAAATGATAATCCATTTTTTTACACATTTTTGAAACCATGAATCGATCAATGTTAGACCACCATTATAAACTGTAATGCAAATTACCTATGCTCACTAGTGACTAGCTTCGTGAGGAATCTTCTCCGAATTCTAGTGGGAAGACGTGACCAGTGAAGTTCAACCTGTTCGGGTGTAGACAGTAACTACCGAAGACTGTGTATGAGGTTGCGCAACTCCGTGAATTGATCAAGTTAGACATTAACACCGTTAGATACCGGCTCAGTGGTCCGATGGTTAGGCGTTCGAGCACAATACCGAAGGTCCTGGGTTCGAATCCTGAGGGGTGCAGGAGTCGTGGATGCGCACTGCTGAGGAGTCCCATACCAGGATGAAACGGCCGTCCATTGCTTCCAGGTTTCTAATGGTGGTCTAACATTGATCGATTCATGGTTTCAAAAATGTGTAACTTAACAATCTTCACAACCCCATAATGCATTTTTTTAAATTGAAAAATGAGACTATTTTAATTTATCTAATAATTAAAGCTGCATTTGCACGACTGGCATTGGAATAATTCCACATTATATTGAAAATCAATGAAGTGTATGTTATTATCAAAAGCTCTAGTGTTAGAGTTTTTATTCCGAACTCAAAACCGGAAAATAATGAAATGTCTAACCAAAAAGAAACATTTTGTATAACAGACGTTGATCGACGGAAAAAAGGCAGAGTTTTTGATGACAAATTATTTATTGATTATCTTAATGGAGTATGATGTATTTTAAGTGTGGTCATCTACTTTTTAAATGTTGAAAATCAAAATAACATAATTATTCTTGATTTTTTTCTACCTGTTGACATTCATCACCGTTAAAAAAACATTCACCTTTACTTCGTGTTCTGAATCTAGGTGTTGTGGTGCGCGCTACTTATAAGTAGTATATGACGCGAGTGAAAACGTAATGTCTGGCAGCAGAAGATGGGGGAAGATCAAGAAAAGAAGAGTGTGAACACAATGGAATTTGCATGAAACGCATGAATAGTGAAATGTCAGACAATGGATTGATGATAGATTGAAGATTTGCAAATTAACCGTTTACGATATGGTTTTCCTATTTTACTGAGTAACTCTGTAATTTGGGTTAAATACAATTCGGTTGCCCTCACCTGTGTTCTCCTTCACTACAGTGTGATCATGTAAGTGTCAAATAAACAAGTTTTCTTTTTTAAACGGTAATAGATATTGTTGGGGATGTTAGATCTCCAGAACTCGCTTGATAAATATCTCTATTTTGGATTTATTTCATGGACTCATCAGCTGACCTTGAGATCACATTTCTCACCAGAGAAATCCTTGGCTGTGATTGGTTACTGTGTTATTTTAGTGTGCTATTTTTGTGACTGTCCCAAGGACGTCTCTATAGAGTATAAATAAATGCAATTTGAGTGCTTGGGTTCATTGTGTACTGACTGGGTGTTTGTAGAATACAATTTCTACACTATATCATGACTTCTTGATGATTCGATTTGGTCAAGGGATCACAGTAGCCTACCTGGACACTGGTTCATTGTTTTGTTCTCGTTAATCGAATAAGGTGAATTCGTAATAGTTTAAGCATACCTAGAGTCGAGCATAATAGATATTTAAAAGAAAAAGACACTTGAACTAAAGTTTTTGTGTTTGTAAGTACTTTGTTTATGTACAAAAATGAGAAATCACCTGAATTCGAAACTGTTTTCAATATCAAAGATGTGAATACACAATTGGTTAATAGAATAAATCTACAACTTACCAATAAATATTCAATTAATAATTGAGCAAGTTGAAATAGTTTGATCAAATTATTATCCACATAACGTGTATCCTGTTTAGAAAAAGGATAAATACTAAAAATGATTAAAAATAAAACATACTACTTATATATCAAGTTAAGTAACGCAAAAATACTAAAAAATAACAGGTAAGTAGTAAGTTAACGTCATTTATTAACTAAATGTTTAAAACTAATTATGAAATCATTTCGAGTAGAATGAATCGATTTGAATTTTCTTTAAGTAACTAAATTTTGTGTGCGTACAACAATAACTACTAGTGTTTATTAGTTTATCAGTATTTTTCTAAGGAAAAAACTAAGTCCCCTGACTATATGCTTTAGTTTTATTGTAAATTCAATTTTAATGAACGATCAACTTTCAATAATAAGCCAGCCAGTACAACATAACCTCTCTGTTCTGAGCAAAATTATTTCGGTTTTTATGTGATTCTTAATGTAGGATTAATATGGATTACGATGTTGATCAACAACCACCTAGTTAGTTAGGCACTATGTTGATAAACTGATAAATGAATACTTTTTGCAACAAACGACCACTTTAATTATCTTGGGGGTTTTATTCAGCGTGATGAGTTTATGTTTAGCGAAATCTCGGCATAGATTTAGAAATCTCACTTGAACTCTTTACCCAGTTGCGTAACCTATGGGATCAGAGAGATATCTGATCGCCAAAAAAAGAGCGTACTGTGAAGAAGTTTGCTGCTCTTTATTAATCAACAGATCTGAAAAGTGGATTTTCAGATTAAAGGAAATACGAAAGCAGCATGTTTCTAGGGATAGGTTTCCTCGAAGCTTTTCTCGATCATCATGGAACAATCGAGTGAGTAATGTATACGACAGGGTTAAATAACAACAAAATATGAAAAATCAATTAATGCTGTAGTTTATTATCATCAGACGAGGTGGCTGGGTATCCTGTTGCGTATGAACACTTACTACACAATGTGCAATTATCGCTGAGATTAACTGAAAGAAGTTAGGGGGAGCCGAACTAAAACGTAGCACTGGTCAGCGTGGTCATTGACTAAAGCACTAAGCTATGATGGAAGATCCGTACAATAGTTACGATCAGTGATTAGAGTAATTGGGTTCACATTGAGTGGAAACAAGCTTTTCATTTTCTGTTACTTTTATGATTTCATGGTTACGTTAGGAATCAGTCTAAATGGTTAAATTATAGTATGACAGTGTATGACATGTGTTAGCTCCGCTCTTTTTGGAAGACCTTATCGCCGGAGATGGAAATCTGTGAGGTAGGGTGAGGTGTGACATTTTTACGGTCGACCTTTTCAAACCCTTCCTTCCTTGTGAGAAGGCAGCATCGCTGCAGATGATGGTTGTCCAAAGGAAACACCTTACTGCTTTCACACCCCTCTGCAGTCAGAAGTACAACTTCGCCCTCAGACATTCACTAGCTACCTTAAGTTTCATCGTCCTCCAATTGACCTCCGTGGCATGGAGAACCTTCACGAACATATGCCCAAGCCAATATAGCTCGGTTAGATCAATCACAATAGGCAAGCTCGACCAACACGTCAAGGTAAAAGCTACGGTCGGGTGACAGTTAAGAAAGGCTTGTACTAATTCGTTTATGTGTTGTATAGTTAAAGTCACGTTGATTTTAAACCTAACACAGTTTGCCTTCTGTTGTAAATAAGAAGCAACTTTTGTATATTTACACAAAGATTAATAATTGACTGCTTTTTGTCTATGCAAACATCTAATTGTCCAAAACTTACTATTTCATTAGTTATATCACAGAATGTAACAGATGATAATATTTCTTGTAAACTTTCAACGTCTACATCTCTTGCTATACGATTAACATCAATTGATGCTGTAGATAGAAAATACAGAAAAAACAACTTAATTAGCATCTTTTTTAAAACAAACGTTTTAATAATCAGAAGCAATAATAATTATTAATCTGTAGTTAATTTTTAAGTGATCAGTTTATAAAGCTTATCAAGTAATCTAATCCGTTTGCTACACCGATATTCAATGACAGATAGACAGACAGATACAACGCAGAACTTCGTACGTAAGTACATCAGTTCAGGTTGCCATGACCCATCGGCACAGAGACGCAACTGTCACTTCAAATTCAACAGTGATAGCAACAATAAAAGTATTAGCAGTAATGGAGAAGATTAGGAAGCGAACATATGATTCGAGAAGTATAATTCAGTAAGATAAATTTAGAAGGAGAAAGATGGAGATTATGCAGAAGCTTAGAATTTCATAGAACACAAAGAGTGGATGCACCTACGCCATTGCAAACGATTCTGAGCCATGTCGTTTAAGTTAGGCAATCATGTAAGCGATTCCCATCCGGAGGCAGGTTCGAATGATATCAAGAAGGCTGTGGAAACAGCAGTGATATCTGCTAGTAAGGTTAACCATAAGGTTAGAATGAAGCCGTGGATCTCAGTAGCATCCACCGATCTGATGGATGCCCGAAAACTCATCCCACCTGGCTCTGAACATGATGAAGAACGAAGTCAACTTAGGCGCAGACTTATAAAAAGCTTACGTAACGATCGCGAACAGTGGTGGGTGGCGAAAGCAAAAGCGATGGAAAAGGCAGCGGCGATCGGCAACAGTAGACAACTTTTCCGACTTATCAAGGAAACTGGTATTAGGAATCCTATTGTAAATGAGAGTATCTCGGAAAATGACGGGACTATTATTTGTTCAAAATCCAGGAGACTGGATCGATGGGCAGAACACTTTAGGGATCAGTTCAACTGGCCTTGAGCCACTCTTCGGTTACCCACGATCTCCAGTCATCCTGAATGGCAAATCGACGTAATTTCCCTTAGCCTTAATGAAGTTGAGAAAGCGTTAGGAAATCTGAAGCGAGGACGAGCTGCAGGTCCTGATAGATTGATATTCAATGAAAGAAAAGGTATTGAAACTCCAAAAAACAAAATAAATTTTTAATAAAAATGTAACTAAACTGTGAGTTAAACAAGCAACAATTTGAACAGTTGCGTCAACTATTATATCATCAAAGGTAAATAATATAAAAATAGGATTTCAGTGGAATGAAGACTCACTCACCTAACCGTCTCCAATCAATTTTTTCAGTACGTTTACGAAATAAGATTGGAGGAATTTGTTGAGTGGATTGCGGACTTAAAGCTTTTCCAGAAGTATTATAGCATGGTTCAAACATGATGGACAGAATACTGTGATTTCTTATGTTTTTTTAACGAAATTATCAATTTAAATCATTATGAAAAAAACAGATGGCTAAAAGGAAAAACAAACAAAAATCAAGTAGATTAAGGAAAATCTATTGATAGAAAGCTGTGACATGTCGTAAAAATGTAAAATACATATTATTTGAACTTAAATATCCATTAACAACGTCATATTAAGTGCCAGTCAGTCAGTCAGTTGCAACGTAGAACTTCGTACGTTTGTACATAAGTTCAGGTTGCCATACCACATTAGCACATAGACGCAAATGTCAAATCGAATCCCATAGTGATAAAGATAGTAGAGGTATTAATAGTAATGAAGAAGACTGGGTTCGAAGATATTATTCAAGAAGTATAATTCAGTGAGATAAAGTTAGAAAGACAAAGGTAGAGGAGCTGACGAATCCAGAAGATTAGGATTTGAGAGAGCTCAACGAATGGATGCACTTGCGCCATTGCAAACCATTTTGAGCCAAGTCGTTCAAGGTCTCTAACCATTGATGACTTTCGTCTCGCGGACCTCAACCAGGTAGTCTACATCTACCAACATGACTCAGTCCACTTGTCAGTGACTTCATGGATTTCTGCCATGTTTTGGTCTGGCCGCCCCTAGCTTTCATCCAACCTACTCCTACACCACAAAACATAGCTCGTCGAGGCAGTCGGTGGTGAGCCATACGTAACACATGTCCCAACCACCTCAACTGATGAAGTTTCACCACTTCATCTGTTGATCTACCATCCTTACTTAGTACTCGTTTCCTAACGACAGCATTGCTTACTCGGTTGTTCCACAATATACGAGCAACGCTTCTTAAACATCTATGATCAAATACTAGTAACCTACGAACATCTTCTACTCTCACTGGCCATGTTTCACAGCCATTTAAGAGAACGGAACGAACTGCTGCACAGTACACTCGTCCTTTGGTTAGCGAACGGATATCACGCCTACGCCATAAGTGACGCAGGTTGGCAAAAGCCAATCGAGCCTTCTGAATCCGCGCCGAGATTTCGTCAGTCACCAGGTTATCAGCGCTTATGAGACTTCCCAGATAAGTGAAGTGATCAACACGCTCGACTACTTCACTTCCTATCACTATGTTAAGTGTAACTGATTAGTGTTCTTGCTAATAACCTCCAAGGTTTCGCTGAAAAATCTATGGATGTGCATTAAGCTAATTACGCTAAACTCTGAATTTAGCATGGTCAACAAGACTATTTTATTTTTCTATTCCATGCTCGTTGACTAGAGTCAGAAGTATATGTTTGTAAGAGTTTTTTTATAAGAGATCTCAAATTTTAAACCGCTTATTCAATGATCACTGATTGCAGGATCATAATAAACTGAGAAATCTCCACAAAACACAAAACCACAGTAGAAATCGCAATATAACGAACCTTCTTTGAGAATTAACTGAGAAAAAACCACTTTAAGTTTATGTGCAGATTTCAAAACTAACGTTCTTTCATATAAGATATATTTGAAAATAATCATTCTTGACAGGGACAGATCAAAAATGAAAAAGAATTTCTTGATCTATAGTTGAAGAACGCAACCATTAACCAGTTTCATCTGACCCGAGAAACAAAAGCCATAATTAGGATACATAAGTTACAAACTACTTTGACAAAAAAGCTGTTTCCTATCTTCAAGATCATTAATTGCTTGTTGCATTGGCTCCTTACATTTTTAAAGATAGCCACAAAGTTTTCGGATGGAAGCTTAAATCTCATGTCTAATGTTTGATTGAAAAAATGAAACGTGTCAATAGTTCGTAGCCCTTTCAACGATATGTTTCAAAAAGTAAAATTTTGTGGATTTAGGAAAGCCTGGGCAAACTAATTTTATTATAAAGGAAAGTCTCTCAAAGGTAACTCATCAATGAACGTTCTAAATAATATGTTGCATGAGCACTACTTCGGTTTACGAACTGACGAATCATAAAAATCAGTATCAGGAACACAAAAACTAAATTACAGTCTGATTTTTAGTTTAGTATTACAAAGGAAGTACTAAATTGCTTTGTAACAAGATTTTATAGGTTACAACTAGATACTGGTTAATAATCATTCTGATCGAGTGGCATAGGTCCTTTCCATGAAAACATTTTTAAATAGTTTTCAAATGGAAAATACCTAGTTATTTGGAACGCAAGTTATCACAGAAGTTTAGATCAATTCGGCAGTCAGCATTCTTTAATCCAAAAAATAAGAGTAAGATTTTAACAATAAGTAGGCGCAATTTTGTTTAATAGCTTTGTTTTAGTTATTAACAGTCTGAAATATGTGTTATTAAAGCATAACTTTCGATGACCATAGTAGAATTTAGCAAATGAGAAAGAATTATGTTTGTAGATTATGATGAAATCCAAAAACGAACGGAAACTCTTAATGCGTGAAACATAAAACAGAACCAAACAGCAAGCTTTGCAAGAATTTGGGTGTTGTAAGTTTTTGTTATTGAATACACTGAAAGGATTTGAATGACTCCTATTTACAAGCTATTGAAGAGCGCTAAAATTGTGATGTGTTGGTAGATTTTGGAGGAGAAAACAAGAATATTGGTGAATTAGTGAAAACTTTGGGTTCGTCATATTTGACAGTATACAATGAGCCTCAATGATGTTCAAATGGACTAGGCCTTGAGCCGCAATGCATTAAAAATCGAGACGGAACAGTTTTCCGATCCATATTTTCATTCATTTAACTAACAAACTGCATTTTTGTTATTACATCGTTAGATTTGGTTTGTAGATTATAACGGCAAAACACAGATAACCTCTGTTCCAAGGTAGAGAATCACAGAGGACAGTAAAAAAGTTCACAAGCCCAAGACAAATTACTAGTCCACTGACTGTCGACCGTAGTTTGCATCAACTGAGGAATCTCCATTGCCGGGAATAACACACACCACATGGCCTTCTCTGCTTTACAAACCGAATCTGACACTGAAGTTTCTCAATTTCCTTCTCGAAAACTAAAATATGTCATTCAGTTTGTTAAGGAAGCTCGGGCCTACGAATAAAGTAGTTGCTAAAAAAGTCAGTTTGTTTTTAAATAATTTACAGTTCCTGATTGCAGGTTTCGGAATGATTCAACAGTTATTTATAAATAAATTTATTTAATTATAGTCACAAGTGCAAAGTAACAACTGGGATAGAATATTTAGACCATGAACCAAAGCTTTTACAGCGCTCGTCATCGAGGAACCAAAACCATCAGACATGACTTTCTATTCAGGAGGAGAAGCCGTTGAAAATCAAAAGATCATAAAGGTAACATTATAGGATTAACCATTTTATTTTTAGTATTGAATATATAAAAGAGATATTAAAAAGTTTCGAAATGTACTTAAACTTGCTAAAATTACATCTGGTTTATAGAATGGGGAGTCCTAGATGTCATGAGAGGACAACAACTAAATGATACACAAACAAGTTTCATGTTGGTAGCGTAGAAACTTGTAGATTAGTACATTCAAACAAACCAACATCCAATATCTTATTCACGAGCTAGTATAAACCAACTGATTTCTTTGAGCTCGATTCTTGTTCTCTTGGTACGGTTCCAGGTGTTCGGTAGTGTCCAATGAATGGGGGTCTAGCTACTCGACTGTCTAATTCTAGTCAGTTTGCAGTCGGTTGTGAGTTTCTATGTCTCGGGATTTGAATTTGCTTCAGGGCAGTAACGTTTCTGGATACCAGCAGCTATCACATTGCCAGACCGGAGACCAGTTAGTGGCGATGTAGAGAATCATAAGAAGAAAATTATTATGCTAATAATGAGAGGGTTTCAGAATAATGTAATATATGGATAATTTAGTTTATTAATTGGTAGTGAAGATTGTGAGAGAAGACGGAAGTGTAAGCAAGGGAGAGGAAACAGAGAATCGTGAAGGCAATAGAGATTAAGTTAGTGATCTGAGGAGATAGCAATGATAACAACTAGTAGGTCTCAAGAGATGAATCAGGCACAGCTTGTCCAAGGGGGAGATGATAATCCGCATATGAGTACGTGATCACCAAGACTCTTCTTAATACTATCCATTAAAGAGGCTATGGTCACCCCGGCTGGGTGAGCATTTCAAGTTGCGGTAATTCTCAACGGGAAAAGTGTGCACGAACTTGGGCATTCGCTCTTTGATGTCCATCGAGGCGAGTGGTGTTGGTGCATCAGTAAGATGCTCGCGTTGGGATAGTTTGGTGTGTTTAATATGTCGTACGCCAAAACCAGATCACCTCTGATTCACCTGTAACTCAGGAGAATAATCCCAACTGCTAAAGTCTATCTTCGTAAGGTTTATTTTTCAACCCTATCACCCATTTCGTTGCACTCGATCCAAGAGATTTATGTCTCTCTTAAGCGAAGAAGGTTCGATGACGCTGTGAACCTCCAGGTGTGGGCACGTGTATACATGTGAATGCATGAACAGATGGCTTCTACACAGTTTCAAGACTATTGGGCAAATATTGTCACAACATGGTGACTTTTCTGGGCATTACCGTCATACGAAATTCTTATGATGGATTCAACTGCAAAATCGTACACGAAGAACAGCTAACAGACTCTTTCGAGGTGAAGACCGGTGTCAGGCAAGGTTGCTTACTCTCACCCTTTCTCTTTGTCCTAGTGATCGACTGGATTATGAAAACGTCAACATATGGAGGGAAGCACGGTATCCAGTGGACAGTTAGGACGCAGCTGGAAGATCTGGACTTCGCAGATGTCCTAGCTCTTCTATTGCACACTCAACAACAAATGCAAGAGAAGACGACCAGTGTAGCAGCAGCCTCTGCAGCAGTAGCTCTCAAAATACATAAAGGAAAAAG